CTGCCCAACGTCTGTCAGCCATCAAGGACTTCCCCATGCCGGATCAGCCATCAATCACTGACATCAGGTCCTGGCATGGCTTGGTTAACCAGTTGGCTCCCTTCCTTGCCACTGCACCTGTGATGGAGCCCTTCCGTGAGCTCCTCAAGAAGCCAGTGGGCAAGCAGGTGTATTGGGACGACCAGCTGCGGCTCAAGTTTCGCCAGGCCCAGGACACCATCTGTCAGTTGGCCAGAGACGGCTTGGTGTACTACGACAAATCCAGGCCTACGGCAACTGTCACTGATTGGAGTAGGGAGGGCATCGGCTTCGTCGTCCTGCAACAATACTGTGCCTGTGCCTCTCCAGAGACGCCCTTCTGCTGCAGAGGAGGGTGGCGGTTGGCTCTGTGTGGTAGCCGACATCTGAGCACGGCCGAGGCCGGTTATCCTGCAGTAGAAGGGGAGGCCCTGGCTGTGGTGTGGTGCATGCGCAAGGCCAGGCTGTTCCTCCTTGGCTGCCCGAACCTCATTCTGGTGACGGACCACCGCCCCTTAGTTGGCTTGCTAGGGGACAGAGCCCTCACGGATATGGCGAATCCTCGCCTGTTCAGGCTCAAGGAGAAGACCCTGCAGTACTGATTCACGGTCAAATACTTGCCAGGGAAGCAGAACTGTGCAGCTGACGCCCTATCCCGCTTCCCCTCCCTCAGGGCGGCGCCTGATGCGGAGGACATGGACCAAGAGGAGGACCTGTGCGCTGCAGTGTGTGCAGTCACAATCGCAGCACTGGATCAGGATGGGTGCATCACTATGGATGAAGACACAGTGTGCAAAGCGGCTGCGGACGACCCAGTGTACCAGATTCTAGTGTCGAGGGTGCTGGCGGGCGACTGGCACCCCCACAAGTCGCAGGAGGTGGCCTGTCTGCGCCCGTACTTCTCGGTGAGGGCTAGGTTGGCTGTGGTCAGGGGTTTGGTCACCTACACCTTTGACCAGGGCTGCGTGAGCCTTGTCATCCCCGACTCCCTCCGCCACCGGGTCGCCGTTAACCTGCATGTGGGGCACCAGGGCCTCGACTCAATGCTCAGGCGGGCCCGGCAGTCTGTCTATTGGCCTGGCATGGAGGGTGACCTGCCGTATCATCGGTCCCGGTGTGCTGCTTGCGAGACCCACGCCCCTTCCCAGCCTCCGGAGTCGTTGGTTCTGACCCCAGCGCCAGACTATCGCTTTCAACAAGTGGTGGCCGATTTGTTCCACCTGCAGGGCCGCATGTACCTAGCATATGCTGACCGACTGACAGGTTGGCTGGAGATCGCCCACTTCCCCAACGAGGCCACCTCTGGAAAAATCATCGCCCGTCTGCGGGCCTACTTCACGAGGTGGGGGGTACCTGAGCAGATCTCCACGGATGGAGGTACCAACCTTGCCAGCCTTGAGATGACAGATTTCCTCAAGTCATGGGGGGTCGAGGTGTGCCTCTCGTCGGCCCACTTCCCCCAGTCCAATGGCAGGGCAGAGGCTGGGGTCAAGGCTGCCAAGAGGCTCCTCAGGGATAACACTGGGCCCGGGGGTAGCCTGGACTGCGATAGGACATCCCAGGCCCTCCTCCAGTACCTGAACACGCCTCTGCGGGGGGTGAACAAGTCGCCCGCCCAACTTGCCACCGGCCGCCAGCTCCGTGACGGCGTTCCCGTGGCCAGACAGCACTATAAGGTGGACCAGCACTGGCGGCGGGCACTTCGTATGAGGGAGGTGCGCTTGGCCGAAACCCAGGATGGGGTCCTGTCGCGGAGGGAGGTATCCCGCCAGCTGGCTCCCCTAGTCTTGGGCACGCAGGTGCGTGTGCAGGACGCAGCTACCAAGCTCTGGGACAGGACAGGCATAGTGGTGGAAGCCCGCCCTCACAGGCAGTATGCCGTCAGGTTGAGTGGCAGTGGCAGGGTGTCCATCCGCAACAGACGCCACCTGCGAAACGGCTCCACACATGTGCCTACTACTCCGATGGTGCACCAAGCTGTGCCTCCTGGCCCCCCTTCTGCTGTGCCCTCCGTACCCGCGCCCTCCTTCGCACCCATGGCCCCTCCCAAGTCGAGCGCGGCCAGGCCCAGGAGAGGCCGTAGGCCTTGTGAGAAGAAGGTAAATCAGGCAAATAAATTATTGGGTCTTATACTTTTATCCTCTTCGCCACTGATCGGCTTGTTAGCCGCTTGGGCGATCGGTCACGTCTCTTTTCATTTATACTCTTCACCAAAAGATCGGCTCGCTAGCCGCCCGAGCGATCGGTCACGTCTCTGTCACGCACTGTTGGCAAATACTGGGCATGCACCGGCTCCTGAATGTACCTGAACCCGCTCCAGTGTTGGTCAAGTCTTCTCTTGAAAGAGCTCACACTCGGTGCCGTCACAACACTTTCTGGTAGAATGTTCCAAGAGTTTACAACCCTCACTCCGAAAAAGTTTGCCCTCACGGTTTTCTGGACTTGCGGCTTCTTCAATCTTGAGCTGTGACCCCTCGTGGGGCGAGCGTCCGCCAGCTCCAAGTAAGGACACTCAACTGAGTAGTGCCCCCTGAGATGCTTATAAACCTCAACTAGGTCCCCCCTTGCCCGTCCGTAGTATAAGCTAAGCAAGTTCAGGCGCTCCAATCTCTCAGGGTAGCTGAGGTGCCGAAGTGCAGGCACCAGTTTGGTGGCCCTCCTTTGAACATTTTCAACCAACTGACAGTCCCTAGCATATCTCGGGGACCAGATGGGGTGACAGTACTCCAGATGGGGAAGCACTTCACTCCTGAAGATCGTCACGAGGGACGGACCGTCTAGATATCTGAACGACCTTCTTATATGACCCAATAATTTATTTGCCTGATTTACCTTCTTCTCACAATGGCCCGAGAACTTCAGCTCATTGTCAACATACACACCTAGGTCCTTCTCACACACAGTCTCAACTAGTGCATTTTCTTCATCCCGTTGGGACATATGATACGCCTCCTTACCGTTGGTACGCCCCAGGTGCATCCTCTTACACTTCGTGACATTGAATCTCAGCAGCCATTTCTTCGACCATTCCTGGAGCCCACAGAGGTCCTTCTGCAGCTCTTCACAGTCCGCTTGGTTCTTAATTTCCCGAAATAACTTGCCATCATCGGCAAACATTTGTATGGAAGAGTGTACAACGTCAGGCATGTCATTTATGAAACAAACAAACAACAGCGGGCCCAATACACTGCCCTGTGGTACCCCACTTGTTACAGGTACAGATGACGATTTCGTGCCATTAATCACCACACACTGCTTGAGGTCATGTAGAAAGTCTTCTATCCACGCTAGGACATTTCCCCGAATTCCGTACCCTTCAAGTTTGATTTTCAGCCTTTCGTGGGGTACACTGTCGAAAGCCTTGGCAAAATCTAGGTAAATATTGTCGATATTACCACCCCGTTCCAGAATATGGGTCCAAATATCCAATACCTTGAGCAATTGTGTTAAGCAAGAGCGCCCCGGCATAAAACCGTGTTGGCAATCTTTTACAAGGTTGTTTCGTAGTAGATGTTCCATCGCAGCATCTCTGATAATACTCTCAAGAACTTTACATATTATGCTGGTCAGGCTCACCGGTCTATAGTTGTTCGTGGAGTGACCATCGCCCTTCTTGAAGATAGGACTCACATAAGCCACTTTCCATTCACTGGGGACCATTTGTTCATTCAGGCATTTACAAAACAGGATCTTCAGGGGCTCTGCAAGCTCGTTGCACAGCTCTCTTAGCACTCTAAGATGCACCATGTCAGGATCCGGGACTCTTATGGACCTTTAGCCTGGACAGTTTATTTCTAATACCCTCTTCTGTGAACGCAATGTGGGTCAGTGCTGTGTCGAACCGTCTGTCCTCAAACGCAGGAAGGTTAGTTGCATACTCTCTTGTGAACACTGAGGAAAAGAAGCTGTTCAATGCCTCAGCTTTATCCTGGTCAGAATCTGCGTAACTACCATCTTCAAGCCTCAGGTCTGATACTCCTACTCGCGTTTTCAATTTCGACTTTGCATAGCGGTAAAACGCCTTTGGGTTTGACTTGACCTCGCGTGCAACCAGCCTCTGGAACTCCTTTTCAGCCCTCCTACACTCTATCTTTGCTTGGTTTCTGGCTCTTGCATACATCCTCCTGTCTTGCTCATCGTTTGACCCAACCCACGTCTTGAATTTCTGGGTTTTCTTCTTAATTTTGTCGACCGCCGCATGGTTCATGTGTAGTGATCCCCACGTATTCTTAGAAGCACTGGGTTTGGTCTTGGGTATACATTTATCGATCAAATGGGTCATTTTACTAGTTATGATATTCAGCGTAGTGTCTGCGTTCTTGTACCTTAATAAGTCAGGCCAGTTGATACCCCTCATCTCTTCCCTTATCCCGTTGTAATTTCCCTTGTAATATTTGCACCTTGGCCTGGCCTTATCTTGAACTAGGTAACAGTTAAATCTGAATGACAACACTGTATGGTGACTGGTGCCAACTGGGGCAAGGTGTTCCAGTTTGGCCACCATACCCTCCTCGTTTGTTATAATGAGGTCAAGTGGCTTGGGTGTTTGCTCCCCTCTGTAATGTGTCGGGTCTCTCACATGTTGGAACAGAAAATTATCTCTCAGAGTTTCTACAAAAAGAGTAGCAGGGTTATTCAAGTCATTCGAGGGGAGGGGGAGAGGAGAGGGGAGTCAGTGCAAAGTGTTAGAAAACTTTGTCAAACGTGTAAGGGTCAAGGGAAGATACTTTTGACATTTGGACATGATATTGACAATATTGTTAAAGATGAATTATTCTAAATTAAAGGGTCAATTTCAACTACATTCACAGGGATTTTCCTCCATAGTATGTATTTTTATTACTTCTTTCTATATAGATACGTACTTCTGTTTTCTACACACAAGCCTTAAAAAAATTATACAAACCCATTAAATTTTCTAAGAGTCAATTAGTAAATGATGTCAGAATTTATATAGCGTACCTGTACATTAATTCTGCTGTGGTCGTCTGTTCTGTTGATGTTGTCTGACGGCAACTTGGGCTGGGTAGTGAGTTTAGTAAATTGGTTGTATTCATCACATCCTCCAGCATGTCTGAGGAGATGGATGATTTAAAAGAAGAAAATGAAGACTATTATACATTTCTCAACATTCCAAGAAAAGTGAGTAAAGTGGAATAATGATATATAATGAAAGTTGTGGATGATGCAAGTGATGCACGGTGTCTGTCTGGTCACTACTGTGTTTGTACAGTTGACCTTCACAGTACATACATATTGTACAGTGAAAGTATGAACTGAATATGGATACTTATTAATAATAGAAAATACTGACTTTGTTTGAAATCATAACTGTTATGAATGCTTCTGCTATTTAATTTTTAAGAATGTGTAATTCTGTATGTATTACACTAATTTATTTTTTGTTTGTAGGATATAGATTATCATGAGTCCCTAGGGGTTGACCAATATGTTTTTCCGGTGTATTTTGGTGTGTTTTAAACGATAATGGGGGAGAGCCTGGGAAATCGGGGTTTTCGGTGGGGATAACACGAAAATGAGTCGTTTAACCTAACCTAACCACTAGCCAGGGGCTCTGCCCCCGGACCCCTGGTAGGCCTAGCTTAAGCTAACCTAACTTAAATGTTTTAATAGTTTAAAACTTTGGGGCGCATCATGTCCGAAAGAACAATATCTTAGAAGTGGATAGAATGATTGTCTCTCTTAAAACAAAGCAATAAACTTAAAATAATCATAGGAGCACAAATAACAACCAACCTCCACCACGGCCATTGTCAGACTGGTCAATGAAATTCAAATCCGTACCCAGACTGCTTCCTTTGAAAAAAGTCAAATGTGATTGATCGAAAAAAATTTGCGTGATGATATCGATACATCATTGGTCACGACTGGATGATGTCAGTTAATATTGCGCATGCGTGATCCATAAATAACTCTTGTTTCACGACCACATCACAGACGAAGACTGAAAAGTGCGTAAAATCAATTAAATTCACTTGTGTTGCTATTATCTACTTCTGCCTGGTATATACAGTATGGGGTTAAAAATGCTCGGAATAGGGAGATCTAAATGTTTCAATAGTTTTAACTTTCGGGCGCTCGATGTCCGAAAGTAAAATAATACCATATAAAGTAATAGCCATCACCTCATTGGTAATGTCTGAGACCAGCACTATCACCAGAAGGAGTTGTTTGATTTCCTTAATTTTTTCCACGGATATTCTTATACTTTTACTTATGTACTTTTATCCTCTTCACCACTGATCAGCTCGTTAGCTGCTTGGGCAGTCGGTCATGTCTCTGTTATGCACTGTTGGCTAATATTGGGCATGCACTCAATCATGAATGTACCTGTACCTGCTCCAGTGTTGGTCAAGTCTGGTTTTGAAAGAGCTCACACTCGGTGCCATCACAACACTCTGGCAGATTCTTTCAAGAGTTTACAGTTCTCACTTCAAAAAAGTTTCCCCTCACAGTTTTCTGGGTAAATATTTAGTAGTTGCCACCACCCAATTGACTTTTGAATATGGATTTTTATAGTGTAAATCATCATGTCAAATACAAATATGACCATCATTGCCATCGAAAATGAGCAGTACAGGTGCTCCTCTACTTAAGAACGTTCAGCTTATAAACTTTCAGAGATACAATCATCATCACTGAGGGGGGTTACCTGCCACAACAGGTGTTTAATGTGGATGAGACTGGATTGTTTTGAAGAAAATTCCAGGTAGAACAAACATTACCTAAGAGGAGAAGAGTGAGCCAGGTTTTAAGGCTGTATTAAAGGGTATAGCTGTACTAAATATCCATAATATTTTCATTTTTTACATTATGTTTGGTATCTACAAGAGTAAAGTTGGACTTACAAACAGTTGGACATACAAACAAGCCTCAGGAATGTAACTCGTTCGTAAGTAGAGGAGCACCTGAACTGTAGTTGAATTATTGAAAAAGTGGGGTTAAACAATGTAAAAATCTAAAAAAAACGAAAAACCTAACCTAACCTAACCCCTAGTGTGTAAAAAACTTACCTAAGTAAGAGATACAGGGGGATAGAGTGTTGCGACTTGAATGAGGAAGTGGTGTCTTCGTCAGTATCCGTCTTTTACCACAGTACCACGCATGGTGATCTACACGGTAATGACACTCTGAATTACATCTTGGACACTTAACAGGTGAAACAAGAACACCGTGAGCCCTAAAAATGGTAACGGTTGCTGCTTCATTGTCCAAAATGCGCTGAATAATGCAGCAGCCAGCCAATGTACTGTACAATGAAAGACAAAAGTTGTGTCGTGAAATTTGGTGAAAACATATGCCGATGGGCTAAACTTTTGGTGCGCTCTGCCTTGTGGTATGGGGCCCTCATAATGTCTCATGAGTTATTTTTAATCTTCGGACAAAACCTCGACACGACTTTTGTCTTTGATTGTACATCTATCTCACACAGACGCCATCATCCAACTAGCCACAAATGGAGACTTGTGCTGATTAGCACACAAGTTTTATATCACATCAGCTTTCATGCTGATGGGCGTGCATGATTATGACATCACATCAATACATGCTGATTGACCAAATACTGTATTATAAAAGTTAAAATAACTCGAAAACTATAAATTTCTGATGGAAATGTTGCAGAATAAATTTGTTACAGTATATGTAATTTGTTTCTCTATCTCCCCATATATGACTCAATATTCAGTTAGATGGTGGCAACTACTAAATATTAACCATTTTCTGGACTTGTAGCTTCTTCAACCTTGAGCTGTTCATTCTAGTGGGGCGGGCATCCACCAGCTCCAGGTATGGACACTCAACTGAGTAATGCCCTCTGAGTTATTCATAAACTTCACTTAAGTCATCCCTTGCCCATCTATAGTATAAGCTGGGCAGTTACAGGCATTCTAATCTCTCTGGGTAACTGAGGTGCCATAGTGCAGGCACCAGTCTGGTGGCTCTACTTTGGATATTTTCAATCAACTGACAATCTCAAGCATATCTTGGGAACCAGACAGGGCAGCACCTCACTCTCAAGATTGTCACGAGGGACGGACCATTAAGATATCTGAACGACCTACATATAAGACTTGCTAGTTTAGTTGATAATTATCATTATAGTAGTAATCATATTACAAGAGGTGACATTTACAAGAACCCAATAGATCCTGACCTAACCAACCAAAGAAACCTACCTAACTTCCTAGCCTAAAGGGCCCATCTCCCGACCCCCTACAGTACCATATTAAACCAAATACTTGAAGTACTTATTTTGATATCTGGTACCAATGAAAGCGATGTTGTTGAAGCATCATGGTGTAATTTTACGCTTTTTGTGGACGAGAGTACGCTCGGACCAGTTGGGTCCGTTGTAAACAAACAGGCGCACATGACCACATGCGCCAACAGGAGCAGATTTTTCGGAGAAGTATTTATGGTAAATATTTAATTTCTTTGTGTACAAAGCACATAGAGACATCAGATTTTCACTGTGTTTAACCCTGCAATTTCCCTCATCATTCATCCCCTGCCCACTTACTATAATGATAAGAACATCTGGGGAAAAAATGAACGGAATTGAACTACTGCTTTTGGTGGTAGTGTTGGTTTCAGAAATTTCTTCATTTGCTGGAAATGTAAAGAATAGGCACCACTATATTAGCTGTGTTTTGATCATTTTTATGTAGACCATTTCTTACTTGGGTGCACGGTAATTAATTTTATCCCCTTCGCCACTAACCGGCTTGTTAGCCGCTTGGGCGGTAGGTCATGTCTCTGTTATGCATTGTTGGCAAGTACAATACTGGCACAATAGGGCAGATCTCAGTGAAACATTCAAAATCCCGAATTGGATGGAAAACATGAACCTGGGACATTCCTTTGTCATGTCATGCACCACCAACACAAGGACATAATTACAAGCTTGCCAAGTTACACAGAACGAAGTTATACAGAATGATTATAAGGAAATTATTTTTCACAGAGGCTGGTAGACCTATGGAACGGTCTACCAACCCAAGTATACTGGGCTTCAAAATAGGTCTTGACATAATTATCAAGAACAACTGAGGGAAGTAAAGATTCATTTTAGGTTGACCACAGAACCTACTGACAAAAAGGTTTTCCGAGTGTATTTTGTGTTGGTTCAAGCGAATCTGATATTCATTTCCTTTACAATGAGCCATTATGGAAATATGATCCTCTCTTAATTGCCTACAATATTGGTTGTTCAAAGAGGGAAAGTGTGAGGTAAAATACTAAAAAGAATACCAAACAAACCTTAGAACACCTTACCTAACCTATAAAATCACAAAACTATAAAAAGTTTACCTTTTTCATGTTTTCGATGTTTACTATGTGGGTGTGGTGTTGTTTTCTGTGTTCAGATGAGGAGGTACCCATAAACTCGAAAGTGATTCTTAACCACCATCCTCATATTTATTTTAAATACACCAATGAACTTGCCTATCTAAATTTTCAGATTGTTTTTTAAGTTCCATGCATAAGAGATTACACAATAGCCCAGACTATTCTGTATTTTTATTCTAATGCATTCAACTACAGCATTTCAAGTTATTCTTATTCGCATTTGGATACAGCTCCTCCCCGACTTACGGACCCAAATCCAGGTCGTAAGTCAAAATGGTCATAAGTCGAAAATGCTTAAATAATACATAGAAAATCTAAAATGGGTGTCTCTTTTTCTTCTGAGCACCACAAAACTCTCACTTTTAAGCTTGCCAGCCATTTTAAAGTGAATTACAAACGAAAATTTTCTATGTGTACTGACGTTGGGCTCAAAAACACGTAATTTGACAAAATTTTGGTACTACTGAGGCAGGTCGTAAGTGCAGGTGGTCGTAAGTCGGGGAGGAGCTGTACAGGCATACCTTATTTTTTAGGTTAAAGTAAATTACTGCTGAAGTATCATTGTGTATATTTACTTGCTGCTGCCAAAATGATGCAAAAGACCGATAACTCCAATATGGAAGTTTTCATCACTGTTCTGTGTTTCGTGTCTGGAAAATGTAAGTTTTCGTCACTGATGTCTATATTTAATGTTGTGGAAGGACTAGGGATGACCATGGCCAGGGAATGGGCTTGAGATGATCAGATGACATGTAATTTAATGTGCTCCATAGCTGGATGGCCGCATTCTTGATAATACTCTACTATCATAAAGGCATCACTTCTGGTAAATTTCTTTCATCTGCCTTGATGAACCCTGGAAGTAGTTGTCCAACCTTCTCGGCTGATCGGCTTTGTAAATAAATATTATTAGATAATTAATTGTGCTTTACTGTGCAACACATTAATACTACAGATTTTGAATATATAAATATTACTAAGCGCATTAACTAATTCAATGGATATTAGCTGCCCATACAAATTTCATAGTATAAACATTCCAAACAATAGTGGTATTACAGTGTATTTTGATTTTGGTCATCTGGGGAACCTTAAAATTCTAACTGTGGGATTAAGTACTTTAAATAATAAGATAAATTATCTCTATGGGATTTCTGTTGCAAAACATTTTTCGATTGCATAAGAAAATACAGGTCATAGGTTAGGTTAGGTTAGGGTATGATGAGTTAAAAGGTTAGCTTAACATACACTGGTAAGAGGAGGGGGGTGTGTAGTAACTCAAAACTAGTGATTTCCAATAGAAAGGTCTAAATCGTTCATAACACATCGCAAACAATCAGAACAATAAACATAGTCTGCATGTCTAAGTGCAAGGATGACCAAAACTTAAAATTTACCCAATATTGCCTATCTCAAATCTGAGCATCCAAATACTTATGGTAGTTAAAGTAAAATTTCACCCATTAATTAATATAAATGATGATATATCCCAGTGGTTCATTAGTGAATCATCAAAACAATAACACCACTATGTTGTCATGTTTACCTAGCATCGGGCATTCTCAAAACAAAATCCAGGCAATGTCATTACTTCTCAATTGACTCGTATCTCCATCTGTGTGTCGTCTGCAAGGTAGGTGGTTACATCATTGCAAATGGCGGCCCTGTTTCTAAAGAAATAAACTTATCTCGACTATTATAGCAGGACTTTAAACTTTTATTACAAATTATATACAGGTATACCGTATCACTCTCCGAACGTGGCAGAGTGTATTTCTTGTGTTTACCCAGAACCGTCAACTCGTCCATTGTAGAATACGTTACAGTAGTTAGTGTGATTAAAATATTTGTGGTAGTTTTAAGAAAGTGAATAAGGTCAGTAATAAAATAATGAAGTACAGTACTGAGAGTATTACAAAGATATAAAATACTCAAATTCACCATTTTATGTCTTCTCATATCAATTATATTTTACTAATTTTCTTAATCTGATGCTATTTATGATTTTAGGCAACAGATGACGAAATCAATAATGCATATCGTCGCCTCAGCCGACTCTACCACCCTGATAAACATATGGACCCTGACCGCAAGGTAGAGGCAGAACTACTCTTCAGTAAAACAAAACGGGCTTATGAAGGTCAGTTTTGTATGGGATAATTTATCCTTTGTTGCCTTCTACTTTGTTACCTCCTGGTTTAACTAGGGATGAGGTCATGCATAATTATCCCACCATTCAGTGATATGTTTCATATTTATTGATATTGTTCCTTTCTTACTGCATGGTTGATCACAGTTTCTGCATCAACTTTCTTTGGCTGCCCCCAGGTTATACACCACCCACAGATGTACAGCTGATAAAAATAAATTTTAAACTTAATTTGTTGTATTTTACATTACTGTATATATAATTTGTTACATAATAAAAACTTCTAGTCAGCAGTTTAAAGTTTACTCGGAACTTCCAAGAAATTTCTAGTGAAATATGTACAGTATAGTCTGCATTTACACGGATTTGATTTACGCGTTTGGTCATTTACTCAGCACCTTGCCAGAATGAAAATGTTTAATTACGCGGTTCATTGCATCATTTACGCGACGAGAGGTCCAGACGCGCCGCGCCAATTATGATTCACGCGGTCCATTCTTGACCGTACGCGGGAAGTGGTGCGGGGAGGGTGCGCAGTATGTCGCTGTTGTGTTATCGCTGACGTCATATGCCGTATCGGACTATGATTGGGTCACGCATCCTTACCTCCCTCCGCCGCTAGCTGTGATTAATCTAATGTAATATGACATGGCCAGCCACGGGAAGGAAGAAGCCACTGACCTAGCCGGGCCAGTCTCATTGTTCACAGTCTCCGCGTATACTGTTCTCTCTTGTGCTTCCGCTAGACCCCCCACCACCCCAGAAAAACCTTGAATTACCTGGACCAAGCCGCCCCAAGCCCAAGAAGATACGACGCGCCCTAAGTTACGAAGTAAAATACAAAATCGTCCAGGACTTAGAAAAGGGAACCCGACAAGTTGATCTCGCGCGCCAGCATGGAGTTAACGAATCTACGATTCGTACAATCAAGAAGGATGCCGCCAAGATAAAAGAACACATGAGCATCACAAAGTATGCAGGTGCTTCAATGGTGAAGTATTATCAGAATAAGGTGCTGCTCAAGACTGAGAATTTACTGGTGAGCTACTTGATTCGTCAGGCAAGATGTAACATGGCGGTCGACACGCGGGCAGTGCTGGACTACGCCTGTGAACTCAACGAATCAGTGGCGTGCAAGATGGGAATTGCAGAGCCCAAACCCTTCACTGCTTCCTCTGGGTGGTTGCAAGGGTTTAAGAAATGTAACAAGATAACCAACATTAACATTGTTGGTGAAGGAGCCAGTGCTGACTGTGCTGCCGCCATTTTCCTCCATTCTTACGTGACATTATGGAGGAAGGACAGTACACCGACGACCAGGTGTTCAACATGGATGAATCCAGTCTGTTTTAGAAAAAATTACCTTCCAAGACCTTCGTTGTCAAGTCTACCAGCAAGTGTCGGGGCTGGAAGTTGCAGAAGGAGCGCATCACCCTCCTGTTTACCACCAATGCCTCCAGCACCTGTAAGCTCAAGTTATCGGTGATCCACACAGCCCGCAAGCCGCACGCCTACAAGAACATGACCAAGCTAATTGTCCACTGGCTAACCGCACGTAAGGCGTGGATGTTCACTGGTCTGTCCCTCTCCTGGTTTGACGACTGTTTCGTTCCCGACGTTAAAAAATTCTGCGAGCATCATAATGTTCCATTTAACATTTTGTTGCTCCTTGACAATGCACCAGGACACTCGCCCCTACTGTTGGATCGTCACCCCAGTGTAAAAGTGGTCTTCCTTCCTCGCAACACTACGCCGTTAATCCAGCCCATGGACCAGGAGTTGATATGCAACGTTAAGGCTGCATTCTCCGCAAAGAAGTTTAAGCTCCTGAACGACTACACCAACACCAAGGATGAGTTGCGTAACCTTCTGAGTGGCACAGATAGCGAGAGCGACGACAAGGATCCAGAACAAGAGTTGGCAGAGCATGAAGTGCAAGTTAAACAGTTTTGGAAAATGTTTAACGTCAAGAAAGTTGTTGATTTCTTGGTGGAGGCATGGGGGCAGCTGTCTGTGGCAACGATTCGTCACTCGTGGCGGCATGTGTTGCAGGGTATCCCAGGTGGGAGGCAGAGTCAACCTGCGACTGGAGAGGCTCAGTCTGTTGCAGTGGCAGTGGACCTTGCAAGAGAAGCTGCACAGAGTGTTACAGTTGCAGGCTTCTCCGAGACCACCAACGACGACATCATGGAGGTAATCAGAGATCCTGAGGTGACTGCCGATGATATGTGGGAAGACGATGACATCAGTGAGGAGGCAGGTGGTGTGGCAGCACGAGAACAGAAGTTAACACATGGTGATGTAAAGGATGCCATCGAGTTTGCCGAGAAACTCAAGCTCATCCTTTCCAAAGACCCTCTCAATCACCGATATGAAGTCTCCAATAACCATCTAGACCAAACTATGGAGCCGTATATCAAGATGTATCACAACCACATCAACGCTAGCCGTCAGCGTAACATCGCCGACTTCTTCGCCCGCTACCCACCACAGCCAGCCCAAGTCAGTGATAGTAACAGTGATGGTGACTTTGAGGGGTTTGTCAGGGAGGCCCTGACATCTGTGGTGGATAGTGATAGCGATTCACCTGAGGGCCACTAATCTGCCCTCTGCCTCGGAACCAGCCCCCATCCCCGAATGCCGACCCATCTCTTCTACTAACGTAAGTGTTAAACCTTGATTTTTCTTTTACCTGGTACAGTATATTATTCTTTTATTAATATTTCTCTTCTATATTATGTGTGTGTGCATACCATCATAAAATTAAGATACTACTTTTACTACAACGTACGTATTGTGTCGGAAAAAGTGGAGTTTGGGGGTCGGCCCAGTCTCTATTTCAATTAATCCCATATGTTCTGTTATTTCGTTTACGCGTTTCTCGTTTTACGCGGACCTCCACGGGTTCAATTGACCGCGTAAATGGAGACTATACTGTACTGTATATACGAAGATAACTAGAAATTCCTTTCATGAATAAATCAATGTGAATTTATATATTCCTTTAGATACTGTATACTTTATGGGGAGGGTAGTCAAACATGCATCAGTAATTATTTTTGTATAATTAAGCTTAGCGCTAATATATGTGCTGTACTGTACAAATAACAAAGAACATCAACTGGTTAAGCTTAGGTCTTAACAAGATGCTCATCATATACCTGATATAGATAAACGCAATGGAATTTTATAGGGATTAATTGGTGACAGAAATAGACACAGTAACAAGAGCACTGTAGTGGTCTCATGTACAGTACTGGCGTTCATTAAGAATGTACGGTAAGTTAAACTGTAGTCTTGAACCTGGTGTTAGTAATAAGAAAGGTAAAATGATAACAGTTTACAAGCATGTACTAGAGTACACTGATAACCACTAAGGCCGAAAGGGTCATTTAGATGAGTGTTCAAGTACACAAAATAGACCTGGCGGAGTTTTATACAGGGCTGTGGAGTCGAAGACAAAACCTTCGACTCCGACTCCTCAAATTTTTATGCTTCCGACTCCGACTCCTTGGCCTATTTGTAACAACTATTTCTACCATCCTAATTGTAATTTGTATGTTGTAACCTGCATAGGTAAAAAGTAAAACACCGTGGCTATACTGCTTTATTAATGATCTGGACGATATTTAAGAACTACAAAAAGATGATAGGCTTGACTTTCAAAGTTTCAATCAAAAGAAAAATAAATTTATTAAGAATTCAAGATATTAACTAGAAAACACCATTTACATGTATATCTAAAAGTTCGATCTCAGCATATGAATTTTGTTTAAGCTCATAATCTGATGTGGATCTAAATGATGATCCTACAATTCCTTTTAAAGTAAAGTTATATATTTATGTACATTAAAGAAATGAATACCTTATTAAGGAAAATGGATAAACCTTACATGATTAAGTTATTAAATTAAATTTGCCTTAATCTCACCAAAAACAGGTTGTAGCTAATTGTTTTGTAGCTGAGAGCCTCTGTGCAGTTTTCAACGAAACAAAATTTGATATAATTCAAAATTTCAAATGGTAAAGAAGAGACTATCGTCCAAAATTATAGTGCTATACTGTGCCTGCTACAATAAATTCATAATAATGCTTATAAAATGGAAATAAATTCTTTTAATAATTTAAGAAAATTAGTGGGATCAGTGGAATCACTGCAATGAATATGCCTGAGTTCATATATTTGTTCTTAGGAACAGAATAGCTTCAGTCGGAGTCGGAGTCGGAGTCTGGACAATTTTACCGACTCCGACTCCACAAGCCGAAATTTCCTCCGACTCCCGACTCCGACTCCGACTCCACAGCCCTGATAGGTACTCCTGAATGTGCTGCTTAAGGATCTGTTAACCAAAATTTGATATCTTGATTATAACTTGTTCAAATGGCTTTTAGAAAATGTTCAAATGATTTTTAGAATATTTTAATTACTTTTGCAATGCTAATTACTCGCCACTTATGGGTTTTCGAGGTCATTTCTTGGTGCTTGTGTATTATTCTGGATGTACTTAAATAGTTAGGCACATTAAATTTTAGTTCAGAGAGAAAACGTATTTTTGGCCAAAAATCCTTTAAGGCTATAGACTTACAATTTTTGTCATTTCGGCCAAAAAATGGATTTTGTTCAAAATTTCAGTATAGGTACTCCTGAATGTGCTGCTTAAGGATCTGTTAACCAAAATTTGATATCTTGATTATAACTTGTTCAAATGGCTTTTAGAAAATGTTCAAATGATTTTTAGAATATTTTAATTACTTTTGCAATGCTAATTACTCGCCACTTATGGGTTTTCGAGGTCATTTCTTGGTGCTTGTGTATTATTCTGGATGTACTTAAATAGTTAGGCACATTAAATTTTAGTTCAGAGAGAAAACGTATTTTTGGCCAAAAATCCTTTAAGGCTATAGACTTACAATTTTTGTCATTTCGGCCAAAAAATGGATTTTGTTCAAAATTTCAGTATAGGTACTCCTGAATGTGCTGCTTAAGGATCTGTTAACCAAAATTTGATATCTTGATTATAACTTGTTCAAATGGCTTTTAGAAAATGTTCAAATGATTTTTAGAATATTTTAATTACTTTTGCAATGCTAATTACTCGCCACTTATGGGTTTTCGAGGTCATTTCTTGGTGCTTGTGTATTATTCTGGATGTACTTAAATAGTTAGGCACATTAAATTTTAGTTCAGAGAGAAAACGTATTTTTGGCCAAAAATCCTTTAAGGCTTTAGACTTACAATTTTCGCATTTCGGCCAAAAAATGGATTTTGTTCAAAATTTCAGTATAGGTACTCCTGAATGTGCTGCTTAAGGATCTGTTAACCAAAATTTGATATCTTGATTATAACTTGTTCAAATGGCTTTTAGAAAATGTTCAAATGATTTTTAGAATATTTTAATTACTTTTGCAATGCTAATTACTCGCCACTTATGGGTTTTCGAGGTCATTTCTTGGTGCTTGTGTATTATTCTGGATGTACTTAAATAGTTAGGCACATTAAATTTTAGTTCAGAGAGAAAAAGTATTTTTGGCCAAAAATCCTTTAAGGCTTTAGACTTACAATTTTCGTCATTTCGGCCAAAAAATGGATTTTGTTCAAAATTTCAGTATAGGTACTCCTGAATGTGCTGCTTAAGGATCTGTTAACCAAAATTTGATATCTTGATTATAACTTGTTCAAATGGCTTTTAGAAAATGTTCAAATGATTTTTAGAATATTTTAATTACTTTTGCAATGCTAATTACTCGCCACTTATGGGTTTTCGAGGTCATTTCTTGGTGCTTGTGTATTATTCTGGATGTACTTAAATAGTTAGGCACATTAAATTTTAGTTCAGAGAGAAAAAGTATTTTTGGCCAAAAATCCTTTAAGGCTTTAGACTTACAATTTTTGTCATTTCGGCCAAAAAATGGATTTTGTTCAAAATTTCAGTATAGGTACTCCTGAATGTGCTGCTTAAGGATCTGTTAACCAAAATTTGATATCTTGATTATAACTTGTTCAAATGGCTTTTAGAAAATGTTCAAATGATTTTTAGAATATTTTAATTACTTTTGCAATGCTAATTACTCGCCACTTATGGGTTTTCGAGGTCATTTCTTGGTGCTTGTGTATTATTCTGGATGTACTTAAATAGTTAGGCACATTAAATTTTAGTTCAGAGAGAAAAAGTATTTTTGGCCAAAAATCCTTTAAGGCTTTAGACTTACAATTTTTGTCATTTCGGCCAAAAAATGGATTTTGTTCAAAATTTCAGTATAGGTACTCCTGAATGTGCTGCTTAAGGATCTGTTAACCAAAATTTGATATCTTGATTATAACTTGTTCAAATGGCTTTTAGAAAATGTTCAAATGATTTTTAGAATATTTTAATTACTTTTGCAATGCTAATTACTCGCCACTTATGGGTTTTCGAGGTCATTTCTTGGTGCTTGTGTATTATTCTGGATGTACTTAAATAGTTAGGCACATTAAATTTTAGTTCAGAGAGAAAACGTATTTTTGGCCAAAAATCCTTTAAGGCTTTAGACTTACAATTTTTGTCATTTCGGCCAAAAAATGGATTTTGTTCAAAATTTCAGTATAGGTACCAGGGCTGTGGAGTCGAAGACAAAACCTTCGACTCCGACTCCTTGGCCTATTTGTAACAACTATTTCTACCATCCTAATTGTAATTTGTATGTTGTAACCTGCATAGGTAAAAAGTAAAACACCGTGGCTATACTGCTACAGCTTTATTAATGATCTGGACGATATTTAAGAACTACAAAAAGATGATAGGCTTGACTTTCAAAGTTTCAATCAAAAGAAAAATAAATTTATTAAGAATTCAAGATATTAACTAGAAAACACCATTTACATGTATATCTAAAAGTTCGATCTCAGCATATGAATTTTGTTTAAGCTCATAATCTGATGTGGATCTAAATGATGATCCTACAATTCCTTTTAAAGTAAAGTTATATATTTATGTACATTAAAGAAATGAATACCTTATTAAGGAAAATGGATAAACCTTACATGATTAAGTTATTAAATTAAATTTGCCTTAATCTCACCAAAAACAGGTTGTAGCTAATTGTTTTGTAGCTGAGAGCCTCTGTGCAGTTTTCAACGAAACAAAATTTGATATAATTCAAAATTTCAAATGGTAAAGAAGAGACTATCGTCCAAAATTATAGTGCTATACTGTGCCTGCTACAATAAATTCATAATAATGCTTATAAAATGGAAATAAATTCTTTTAATAATTTAAGAAAATTAGTGGGATCAGTGGAATCACTGCAATGAATATGCCTGAGTTCATATATTTGTTCTTAGGAACAGAATAGCTTCAGTCGGAGTCGGAGTCGGAGTCTGGACAATTTTACCGACTCCGACTCCACAAGCCGAAATTTCCTCCGACTCCTCGACTCCGACTCCACAGCCCTGGTTTTATAGCGATGTTTGTAATATTTATGCAGCTATGTATGACCCCCCCCCCCCATCCCAACCTTCCCACGTCCCCTTGGGTAGACATATTAATGATCGTGGTAAAATATTTTTCCCCAAAATATGGAATAAATAGCACAAAAAAGACTTTAAAAATGAATTTCAGGCAACCTTCTTCCTCTCTGGCGAATGTATGGAGGTACACACAGTGTTATTCAGTAGGTCGCAGACCTTGTCGAGGAGAGGAGGTGTGTACTATGCTGCACCGCACATCTTACTTCAATTGTACTGATGTACCAGACTTCTCTCCTCAAATATTAGGATGGCACGCAATTCAAAACATAAAAGACAATTAAATTTTAGGAAGCCTTCCACCCTTCCCCTCTACCTCACTTAAAGAATATTAATGCAGTTCAGTTTGATTAGTTAAAATTCACAAAAAAGCCAAGATTTTACTTGTAAAATTGGCTCAGAATAAGCACTTACACAGGGGAGAAAGGCTGAGAAACTTTATCGGTCTGTATCTGAAAATTAACTTTTCCAACACTTGGATTGGAATTTCTCTGCCAGTTTTTGACTGATTTCAATGAAACAAAAACTCAGCACATGAAGAACCTTTCCTCAATATAACTACAGCTTCCAATTTTTTCTACCTTGTAAGATTTATTTTTGGTTGAATATTTTATCTTGATATTTTGACAAATTTCTACCAAATTGAAAAAATTATATCCTTAAAACCAAAAACAAAAACAAACATATCTCCTTGTCATTTTCAATGACAATACTGTACTAGATCTCTTAATCAATTTCAAGGCAAAGTAGAAAGAATTAATGGAGAAATACTACCCTAAGAATTTAGAAAGGGTGTGAAGGGTTGAAAAATTTGAAAGGGTAGAAGGGGGTTGTGGAGCTGGAATTGATGCACATATGATCCTTGATTGATGACAGGAATATCATAATAATCGACCAAAATTAAAAGCACCTACACCTTAAACCGGACTCCTCCCTTACTGCATTAAATGTACTGTATGTGGCCCTAAATGGGCAGTCAGGCTTATATAAGGGACCTACTTTCAGTCTCTTTTTTTTTTTGTACTGTAGCCTTTGTAGTAAGTCTGCTTATTTGTCTTTTCTATATAAGTCTTGTCTACACAATGTTTCAGTACTGAGTGATGCTCACATGAGGGCTATTTATGACAACCTTGGGACAGCAGGACTGGAAACTCAAGGTTGGGAAATTGTGCAGCGGACTAAAACCCCGCATGAGATCAGGGAAGAATATGAGCGTTTAGCACGGTAAGTTCTACTGTGTAGTTATTATGTAAATCTGATTGCTCTGAGATTGTAATTAGAATATTTTACTATTCTGTATACATTTTGCAATATTTTGTTGACTTTCTCTTATTCTTTAAATTAATAGTGACCGTGAAGAGCGTCGGCTGCAGCAGCGAACAAATCCCAAAAGTTCTGTGACCATGACAATCAATGCCACTGATCTATTCTCCGTTTACGATGATGACTCCCCTTTTGTAGATCTGAGGTAATACTTTTCTAGTGTAAATAATTCTTTCTCTTATATTAGTTATAGAACTCGCTACGATTATTATTATATTTTGCAGTGCATTATTTTTTATCAAACCATTGTAAATAATCAGGTTAAATATATTACATTATAAAAACAGAATAGGTACTATTCAGTTTTGTTTGCATTTTATTATTATTATAGTATTACATATTATTGTTGTAACAGCATGGCTGTGTGTATATTTATTTCAGAGATTTGTTTGGGTTGCCACACATTGAAATTAGTGGAATGACCTTGAATCAAGCAATTGAGGCTCCTCTAACAAATCGAGACACGGCTATACTATCTGGTTAGTATTATGAATTAGGTTACTGTACAATATACTGTAGATAAAATCATTAATAGGTAAGGATACATATACAGTACATATGGAAAAGATGTGGAAGTTAATAAAGTGTTAGACAGAAGCAGGTCAGGGTTTATAAAGGTGGCTTATAAGAGGGAGAGAGAAAGATCAGGGTGGAGATGAAAAGATGATATGACGGGCACCCTAAAAGTGTAAGGGATGGACATCCAGGAAACATTGGTATGCAAGGATGATTGGAAAGCCTGGCAATGGGATGGCTGTGATGTTGACAGATAATGCTGAGGTTTATGAAATGACGGATAACCTAGATAGGGGTCTTGATGCCATGCTGTGTATGGCAGCAAATGAAGGGAAAGTCGGTATAGTATGTGTTTTTGGTTCTGGTCAACCTGTAGTATTGCAGGAAAAGGCTTGCAACAGTGAAACAATATCAGTAATATACAAATGTGATACAAATTAAGGAATGGATAAGTGGGTGCTTTATGTTGTAAGTTAATAAATGCACATCTATTTTTGTTTTCATTATTGTAAACCTACACAGCAATACTGTACTGAAAAGTTAACATTGAATCATACAAGTAGGGTACTGTATGTATCTCAGTAACATCATCTAATAGTGTACTTAGGATTCAATACAGTACTGTACTACAGTATATTTATATCTACACTTGTGACTTAACACTTATAAATTAGATATGCTGAAGTGTATGAATTTAATGTTTAAAATTTTTAATTTTTAATTTTCATTAAATTTTCTTGGAACATAGATCAGTTTGTGTTTTCATAATGCCAGTACTGTATCTTATATTTGATTATAAAAGTTAAGATAGCTTAGAAAAAAAGCACTGCTATTCTAGGTGACTCATGCCATCAGTTAAAGGGTTTGAACTTAGATTAATTCATTGAAATAGTAGTTTAAGCTGTTCAGATTATTATCTAAGCATTCCATCTATAACCAGCATCCAGAAAGGAAATTATAAATACATATTTTGCTGTTCAAAGCATAACATTAACTAAGTCATGGGCCAGACCACACCACTACAGTAACTTGCCTGTTTGTAACTTGGGACACCGGTAACAACCCAGTCTACAGTCCCAACTATTTACTCATTGATTTTGGAATTATTTTTTCTATACAGTTTTCCCCTGATTTAAGATGGGGTTACACTCCTGAAAACCCCAATGCAAATTGAAATATTGTAATTGAATTCATTATAACATGGGGTTCAATGGGATACTTTCCCAGCCAGTCCGACACACACATGTATCACTTAATAAAAAATTCCTACACTAATAAAATAACTAGAAAACAATTAACCAACACTCACCACATCATTAAGAACAAACCTGGCTGCTTCACAGTGTCAAGCTTCACCTCCAAAGACATGGTTTTCCTAAGCACCTTGGCCTTCCCAGACACAGGAGCCTTCAGCAACACCTTGCTAGACATTTTCAAAGTTACACTGCTCACTTCATTCAGAAAAAGAGAGTGAAAGCATTTCACAGTCACAGTAAATGTGAGGAGTAAATACAACTAATAATGAAAAAAAAAATTGTGTTGCCATTTGCCAATCATTTCATGTGACATGAGAATAGTTGAGAGATCCCCCGTGCCTCTCTCTCCCTCTCTCCTCTGCTCTGAGGGCTAACTCGAGTTGAAAAAGAACAATAACGCAGCTCACAGCTTGGCCTGGTAGGGGGAGGCTGAGATCCCCGACACCGTGCCCCCTCCCATGATCCAACACTTACTTCTGCAGACGTAAGAAATGTTTATTCACTATGTTTTTGACCTTATGATAATAAATTTTTTTTGCACATTCTGTATGAATGATTGTGTGTGCATGTAGCAGAGTAACAAAAATAGAAGAAAAGTACATATATCTACCTGAAACTATGTGTTGAACAATAGTATAGCTCACACAGCTAAGCCTCACTCACTCCGAATGCTACTGGGTGGGCGAGTCAGAGACTACTACACAATTACTTGCCATCTTCATGGATATTATTCCTTGTTATCCCTTTTTAGGATATTATTTCTCATTATCCCTCATTTTGGATATTATTTCTTGTTATCCTTGTTTAGGATTTTATTTTTCATTATCCCCGTTTAGGATATTTCTTTTTATCCCTCATCTATTGATCATTTTGCATTAACGATGAATTTTTCAGGAATGCATCCCAATTTTTAAACAAGGGATACCTGTACAGTATTCCATGCATCAGTGAGTTTGCCTTGCTGATGGCCATCATTTAAAGCAATTTTTTTTTATCATAAAGAGTGAGGTGGTCTTAAAACATCAACATTGTTAAAATTAATTATTGTAAATTGGGGGATACCCATATACAGGTACTGTACTGGATACCCTGATAAATGATGCATATAGGGACTGAAAATTTGTTGGTTAGTGAATCAATAGTTATCGAAGCAATTAATCCCATAAGAATATAACAAATTCAGCGATTCAGTAAGTTAGGGACCAGCCACACCCCCAAAAACTCCCATCTACCCCTGATGTATCTCTATTGTGAACACAGTCGAGCAAGAAATTAAAGTAGATATATAAAGTAAACATAATAAGCACTAAATAAGGAATGTAAAGCATAAATTGAGACTGTTACTTACCTGTGTTGAGGATGGTAGCGATAGTCTAGGATGGCAAGTTCAAGTCTTTACCAATCTTTGCTGGTCCATCACTACTCTTATTTCACATTATCACATGACATCACATCAAGCTGCCCCTCATAGGGGCAGCACAAGAGGAACTATCACTGGGGCGTTCAGGCACGAAGTTGAAGACACAAGTGCAGAGAGGTGGGAATCAATCGGAGGGAGCGTGTAAAGCCCTCTCATGGCAGGAATTTGCACCATGCCACCAGCTACCAAATTCAAACCAACTCTGCCTTTCCTCCCCCAATCTTTGGATCTCCGGGGTATCAACGAAATATGCGGGGCATTTTCTCAATATGAAATTGTCTGTTATGCGAATTGGCGGTTATGGGGATGTCAGGTTTTGGGGTATACCTGTACAGTACAGTACTGTACACCAATTCCAGCTAAGGCAGATGAGTGCTTAAGAATATTTTATTTGTGATGAATCATATCATATGCACTTAACCACTTGTGTATGGTGTCCTTTCTCTGTTTTATAAAATTGTCTGACATTATCCAAATAAATTATTAAAAGTGGCATCCCATTAGTGAAGGGGTTAACCCCTAACTTATGGCTACTGCACATATACGTGGCCATAGGGCAATTTGCCCAATGTATATGTATACCGTCCTTTTCCACTGTGATTTTTAAAGGCCCATTTGTCTTCCTGCATTCCCAGTATTTACACTGCTGCCAGTATCAGTGTAAAAGAAATTAAGTAATCATAGGCATATGGGGTAGCTATTTACTAGGGGATGGGGCAAAAGGATTTCAAGAATTAGATAAAAGAGTCAAAGAAAAAAAAAATATTAATGATTATAATTATCATCATTCTCTCTCCGTAAGCTGTTACAGTAAATCAGTGAATACAATTACTGTATATATGTGTAAAGATTTTCAATTAATCATTATGGCCACTATATATAAGGTATTACAGATGGCAAGACTATACAACAGTTTCAAGCAACAAATAGGTACTTGTCTCTCCACATCCGGTGTCCTGGCCGGAAGTTAGACTTTAGGGAATTTAAATTTAAACCTGCCAACAGCTCTCAAGGATTGCCCTTCCTCCTGTTGCACCCTATATATTTGCTGCATGCACAATAAATCCACTTTTTTCTCTATTTTTCGGCTTTTGGAAATCGATGAAATCTCAAACTTTTATCGTTTAGTCTGTAATTTGATATGCATCCAAATACGAAGCAATTATCAGGCATTGTCATAGACCTTCGCACCATGACGGCCAGCTGGTAACTGAGGTTCCCCCCCCCCACTCCCAGACTGTCGGCCAGATGACGTCATGCACAGTGAAGGATGAATTTTCGACTGAAAGTGGGTTGACTTGGTATAATTAGACTTTGGTTTTTACTAGTTACTGTGTCCGAGCGATTATAACTGCTAATTATTCTTTCTTCCTGGTCACGAGCATCACCATAGTCCAGCTTCAAACACACACTACTTCCAATCTCCTCTTCAGTTAATTGTAGAAGGGATGAGATATAGTGTAGTCCAGTTTTCATTAGTTATATTTACAATATTATGTACAAAGCCTGCTGAGTCAAAGACCTCACAGTGTAAGGTAGCGGTAAAGGTCTGTATAAGGTCTCGGCAAGTGATAGACTAACTAACGCATACAGAGAGCGGCTGACTAGCGCCTCAGTCATGATCGCGTGATCTAACCATTTGGAAGTGATTGAAGAGAGCCTGAGAAACTATGTGGTATCAAAGTTTCAAACCTACCAATAGTTATGTAAATATAGGGGTCCTCTTTATAAGTGGTTAATAGGGACCAGAAAAAACCCACTGATATTGAAACCACTTATAAAGGGGAATTAATTCCAATAAGAATTCATAGGAATAGGGTCTAATTGGGAGCATCACATTGTAAATGACACTTACAAAGTTTAATTTGGTATATTTTACCATTTATATAATATTATACACCTTGGAAGCATTTGTTAAAACTTTGATTACACATTATTTTATGAAATCATTTATATTTACAATATATTTAAGGTATTTAAAGTCGTTAGGGGCCAGTGTGTTGATGAAGCACAAGCTTCCTAACCCCGCACTCACACACTCATTTCAGTGAAAGTGGTTCATTGAGACATGTTCACCACTTTTCTTGTAACTTCTAATTCCACATCCATTCCATAACTACTGCGCTTCCTTTTAGCCACTACACCACCTTGCTTTGGCTACAAAAATAGTCCACCACTGTCACCAACGACACAACAAGGTTAATAATTATAGTTCTTGGAGCACTTCAAAATAGTGCCTGTGAACACAGGCGGTACTGAGCATGCGTAGTGTGGGTGAGAAGGATGACTTTTAAGAGAAGGGGAGACGGGTGGGAATTTCAATCGGTCAAACACTTGTTCTCCCAAAGACTGATGGATTTCAGCCTTAGAATCCTCTTAACTGCAGGGACTTTATATGTGTAGGTCCACAATTATTTGTCCACTTATAATGAAGACATAACGGGGACCCCCTGTACTAATATCGTATATGTAATATTATTGTCTTATACTTAGGTATACTATGTCAATAGTATTTTTGTTAAATTTGTTTACTTCATACGCAAATTTACGTATAAAACCCTTAAGCGATAATTTATATCAAGCAGTTTTGCTTGTGAAAACCCCATGAGTGTTAATAAACTATTATCGTAAAATAATAAATTATCTTTAAAAAAATCCCACACCCAATGCCATATGAGTTATTGCATTGTATTAAATTCCCGGTGCTTGTTTACAAAGCCACTCAGCTGACCATCATTGGCAGCTTTCTTCCAAGTATCTCTGGTGAGACTGCTGAAAATGATTGGTGCTTACCACAACAACTGTCTTCAGCACATAGTAAATAATATTGTAGTGTATTTATCAGATCCTAAACAATAATATATTATTGTATATTTATCAGCACCTAATCATTAATACTGTGGTGTATTATCAGTAGTATTGCTGTGTATTTATACATTAATTAGTTGTTTAAGTGTAACAAGTAGCCATATCAAGCCATCATGTATCACTCAAAGGTAACAAATAATGTTAGGAATGAAACTGCATATCAAATGCATGTAATCTACTATATACAGTAGAGTATAGGATATTATAATGACACAATTGTTAGCTGGAGAAAACTTTATCATTATAAAACATTTTTTAATAAGTTGCTATTCTCTGGAACACATTACCTGACATATAATGAGGACCCCCCCTGTAATTTCTTTATCCTCCCTCCTCCCAGTGGTGAACTACAAAATGGCTGGTACTAAAGATTGGGTTTTTGTTGGTGCTCGAAGTTGTAACTGGGCAAATGGCTAGTATGGTGATCACTGCTAATGTGGAACAGGACTCACCGGACACTTCTTTAAATGACAATGCTTCTTTTTAAGCTTCTTAAGGAAGTGTTTGTAGTTGGAAAGCCTTAATAATTATTTGATTAGTCTTAGCTGCTATTTCAAGGCGTTAAACTGGGTTTTAGCCCCATAAACATAGCTGGTTGCATAACACAAGCCATCCAATCCATTCTTGGTTATATAATGTGATTTCAGCATCATATCATCATTTATAGTTAAATATATGTTCAGTTATAATGAAAATTAATATAATTTTTGCCCACAAGGAAATCTTTCATCACACAATGGTAATGGGAGTGGTGGCATCAACTGTTCAGTTCGAAGAATAACATCAGATAAAGGATGGGGAGAGGTGGAAATTGGTGCTGGAAATGGTCTTACCTTTGCAACTAAAGGCTTCAGAAACTTTTCTCGTGGTATGTTTGGAAATGCTTCAGTTCTTACGCATTTCACTCCCAATGGACTCCGAGTGGGCACAGTTACAAGTTAGTAATAAATCCATTTTGTATGGCTTAAGGTAATTCCTGTATTTAATTTATGATTTGGAAATAATCAGCTGGTTTATATATCTACTTTCTTACCAAAAAAGTATGACGAATTGTGAGGCTTGTGTTTTTTAAACTGAGGTAGTATCTCATAGTACTTTTTCATTGTGGGATTTGTTTTTTTCTTGCAGCCTTGGCAAACCAGTTAGACAAACACACAGTAGGTTATTTGACGTGGAAGGCAGGGATGCAGAGTGGTGTAAATACAATGATTATTCGTGATACTCCTACACAGCATCTTGTGTTCTCTGCTTACATCGGTATACCACACACCTATGCAGCCCTGTCATATACTCACAAAATGCCAGAACACGACTCGAAAGTAAAGGTTACGGGCAAGTAAGTGTGTAAATTTTTATTTAGAAAACATAACTTTGTTACTATTTTGTGAGATAAAGGTATTCATTATTTGTAGTCATGTGTTTTATCATGAAAAACAATTTTATACAGACTTTTGCCATTACTCTACAATTTACCAAGTATTTAACTCTCAGAGTGAATACTTGCTTATTATTTCATATTATTTATTCATATTATTGGTTTCTTATGATAACGAACTGGTAATATCTTAGATTGGGATTTAATATGTGCCTGATTTACCTGTTCAATGTACATGTACTATACCTCAAGTTTAAGACATAGTACTGTATACTGTACTGTTCTACTGTATAAGAATGATGAATTAAATTTAATAAGAATTAATCATATACAGTACTGTACCATACTTTACAGTAGAGTAAAACCTCATTACACCGGACTAATTGGGGCAGACTTTAGTCTGGAAAATGTGAGTCTGATAAAAGTGAGTCTATGGGGGAGGGTGTCTAGAGTTTCAAGAAAATCAGTTGTTATAATGTTATTACTGTGCTTCAACAACTGAGGCCTTTAAATGCATAACAAGGTTTGTAAAACACTATTACATCTACAATGAAAAAAAATTATTACTGTATATAACTTTCTGGGTTGAAAGTCAGACTAAGTCTATCAACAACTGTTTTCACTGAGATTGTTTCATACTGTGAAGTCTTATACAATATGTAAGTAACCACAGAATTTGTTTTAGGAATAAAGAGAAAACTGTTTACTGTGCTGTACTGTATAATAATGTAAAAATAAGAATAAGAAACAAATAAGTGTAGGGGTATATTGTGTGTGGGAGCACCAGGCAGGGGGGAGGGGTAGCATGGGGGTGACTCCCTCTCCCAGGATCCTATTAACACCTTTTTATGAAATTAAGCCATAATTCTCATATAATTTAGGATCATTTGGTGCCTGGTTGGTAAAATATTATCACAAAATACAGTGATATCTTCGTTGGCTGGAACAATTGGTGCAAAGCACTTCCGGGAATCAGAGATTTCCGGGTAACGAAATGACTCTAACAAACCCGGAAAAAACTCCCCCATCCTCGGAATTTTCCGGGTATCAAGAATTTTTTTTTGAATTTTCTGGAAAATATGCCCCTTGGAAAATCTGTTCCGATGCCGAAATTTTCCAGAAAATACGGTTTTGGGAGCGATTTTATGAGAAAATTTCAATTCCCGCTATCGGAGAGTTCCGGGTTTGAGGGATTCCGGCCAATGGAGATATTATTGTAATCAACTTTCCCCCCAAAAGAATCCCTCACCCAACACCACGAGTCACTGCTTATATCAACATCTGTCATCAGCACTTAGTGAATGGTAATACAGTTGACCCTCATTAAAACGGACTAATAGGGGAGGAAGGGTGTCCGCTTTAGCCGATTGTCTGAATTAACCGATTTAGGGGTTAATATTGCATAATATTGCATTATACAGTCATGCGCGGGTTAATGTCCTAGATACGTGCTTGTGTTTGTACAACCGCTTTCATCCAGACCCACTAAAGATATAATGTTATGGTAATTATCAGAAACACACATAGGCATGACTAGGTTTATTACAAAGTGATGAAAAGGATACTGCACAGTGGGTAGTCCACAAAACATGTAGCTATGTGTATGTAGCTAGGAGTCCATTTTCTCTCGCTTCAGGATGCCTGAGTCCTCCGTTTTCTCTTAACCTAAGAGTACAGTGCACCAGAGACTTCGTTATTCCTTAGTAATGACACAGAATTTGAAATTGCAACCCCAGTTGCAACTGGGACAATCCCAGAACCAGAAATTTTATACGGACAGTCCCTTGCTTAGTTCAGCTTTTGTCCGATTTATCCGAAATCTGGATTAAAGGGGTCCGAATTAACGAGGGTCGACTGTATAGTGTATTTATCATCACCTAATAATATTATAGTGTATTTATCAGCACTTAATAAATAATATTGTAGTGTATTATGCATCTGCATAACACTAGTTTATTCATTAATCAGTTATCTAAGTGTACAAGTAGCCAAATTGAGCCATCATATATCACTGAAAGGTAATAAATAATAACATTGTTAGGAAGGCATGTCCATATCAAATACTATACAGTGTGTTACAGTGGTCATGTTGTAAGCTTATATGCAGAAAGCTCTCACACGAATGCATCTTGAGTGAATACCTTCCAATACAGATTATCCTTTTATTTTCAAGTCTTATTCCAAATTACATTTTGTATATTTTCTCTATTATTGAAGATGTTATATTAATCATGATGAACCATAAACCATAAGAGGCAAATCATATGAGAATATAAAATCAAATAAATAATCAAACATGGTGACTGCGGCAACGCTCGATCACCTCCCTCAATCACCCGGCCTGTTCACACTCGTTAGGCTTACAGCAAATCTGATTACCATATATTGTGGCAGCCTATAAGTTGACCTGGTGTATAAGATGACCATAATTATTTCAACTGAAGTTGTTGATCTTGGTCTATACCTGGCAGTTAAGGCAACCCCCTAAACTGCAATTTGAAAGCTATGTCCTCAGTGTTAACTGTGGTCTTCTTACGAACAAGCGTTACTTGGGCACACAAATGTGGTGTAAACAAATCACAACAACACAGTTCCTACAAGCGTAAAAATATTTAAGATACACTGTACACTATAGTATTTCCACGCTAAGCTGGCCCATAAGCCCCGTCCCTTGTCTATAGCTACAAATAGCTGATTGGTTCCCCTGAGCATTTTAACACCCCCCTCCCCCCCTGGACTGAGAGTGTATAAGCACGTATTTATATCGACCTTTTACGATAAAAAAAAATAAAAAATAATAACATCCTCTCTGAAATGCTAATGCCTTGAAATGATTTGCATTTTGATAATCCAGTTATTTAACATTATTTAGATAATAACAGATCTGCTTACCAATTGTGAACATATTTAGTTTGAATTTTCTATGAACCAATCAGATGAGGGGCGGGGCCTATGGGCCAGGTTAGCGTGAAAAGGGTATAGGTGAATAATGACAATTTACTAGTTCTGATAGTTTATTATTAAATGTATTGACAAATATAATTTTTTCAAAATTAATAATTGTGGTACAGTACATGATAAGCAAAGCATATTGTGCATTATATTGACAGTACAGTTTATGGTAGTACTGTACACTGTACTACCAGTATACGGCGGGTCCGACTAATTACCCAAATGTACCCAAATGTAGCCGCAATGAAGTCAAATAATGGTCCTACATGAATAAATCGGACTGCCAATCACTTCTCGACTAGTATTTGGTGTCACAAAGTCACAAAAAATTGGAAAACTTAATTTAATCTGAGTTAATAGATAGCGTGCATGTACCGAGGGAGCGAGTAATTACCCAAATGAACCCAAATGTAGCCACAATGAACTCAAATGATGGTCATGCAAGCGTAAATCGGGCTGTGAATCTCTTCTCGATTATTATTTGGTGTCACAAAAAATTGGTAAACTTAATTTAATCTGAGTTAATAGATCGAGTGCATGTACCTAACCTAACTCAGATTAAATTAAGTATTTAATCTGTATTTCTCCAGATTTTTTTTTGTATTCAACAATTTTGTTGCAACTTTAACGATGAATCTAGTGAGATTCACGAACAAGTGTTGGCAACACTGACTGAGCTGCTGCAGACCAGCCAGCTGTTCCCAGGCACCAGCCTTGTTTACAGCACATTATGTAACCATTTACAAAATCCAGGTGCATTATATGAATCTATCCAAACTACAAATATTACAAGTAACTGCCATAGTAACTTTTGTTTGTTAACACCAAAAAATATTTTAATGTTTTTAAAGGTGTCAGTATGACCAGTGTAAACATTGACCTTAGGCTGAGTTCAGTAACAGTTATCCTTCTGGAAAAATGCTACAGTTATGTAAAACTTGTTTGTGAGTGCTGGAAATTAAGTGACTGAGACCTACCAGTAAAGTAAAGTGAAAATCTGATGCTAGTGGTGGAGTGTACTTAGAGGTTGACATTTTATTCCTGTTGTATAAGATGACCCCTGGTTTTGAACCGAAAAATTGGAGCTTCAGAAGTTGACTTATAGGCCTCAATATATGGTAGTCCGCTGTACAGTGCAATATTCAGTGAACAAGTGTTGTTTTTTACGTAATTGTTAAAATTTTTACCCATTTCTTAAAATACATACTCGACATTATTTTAACCCATTACTTAAAACCCTCAAGTATCCCCATCTACTGGGGATAATTCAGGACAGATAATATTAATGTTGTAATGTTGTCAAAACTATAAGGCCCAGAACCGTGAAACTTGTCATGACCATATATATATTGTACTTATGGACTATAAACCATAAAAATATTAAAGTACCTGTATATAATATTGGTACTTGCGAAGTTATTGGCAATTTTTGTGTCCCACTCTAAAATGCCAAGATGGGGTAATTAGGGTCACCATCTGGGTTAATTAGGGATACCCTGGTGTAATTAGGAATAATGACAAAATGTTGCTGTATCTCACTCTACACTTTACCTATTGTTCCTAATGCACTAATTAGTATATGTTCTTAGATTTACAGTGGTCTCTCGATTAAAGAACGGTCCAATTAACAAAATTTTGGTTTACGAATTAGCTCCCATAAGGATTTTCAATTCCATTAACGAACAAAACTTCGATTAACGAAAGCCTTACGAGAAACACTCTTTGTTGTGCGCATCAGCTGATCGGCTAGTCCGCCAATACAGTAATTGGTTCTATGTTTACATTCGTTTCCAGTGGAGTAAATAAAAAAAAAAGTTGGTCTCTTGAATATTTTTGCATTTTTTATATTAGAATTATTGGTTATTCTAATTCAGTTAACATATTGATAATATATACAGTACAGGGAACAGTTTTTGTGTGCCAATCAACTGATCGAATCACCCACCAATGCTTCTCAGTTTAACTTTGTTTACAGTGGAGTGATCATCCAGTTTTTTGGTCTCTTGAATATTTTTGCTTTAAAATTGTTGGTCATTCTGAAATTTAGTTAACATATTGATAATATACAGTGCAGAAATTATTATGAAACATGAAGAAGACATTAGAATCAATGCACTCTGTAAAGAATATGGTATGCATCATCGACTGTCTCTACAATCAGCTGTTTGATATGTAAACAAAGCTGCTGGGAATACGGCATACACATCTCAAAGTAAGTTAAAATACAGTATTCTATTGTTTTTTATTTATTATACAGTATTCTGTACAGTACAGTACTGTATTTAGTTTATATTTAATATTTTGTTAATTCTATTACCGGTATACAGTACTTTGTATATACTTTTTCTGTTAGTTGGAACCAATTACCCAATATCCCATTGAAATAATAGATTCAGTTAATGAAATTTTCGGTTAACGAACGACTCTGTGGAACCAACTGTGTTCGTTAATCGGGGGACCACTGTATAAGGATACTAACTAATTTTTTTGCATTTCCAGTTTCTATTAATTAATTAAATTGCTACACATAGGGTATGTACAATGCCTACTGTATATTGTATCTATAAAACTAAGCATTTACATCAGAAAATGAATAGAACTGAAAGTAATCAGCGTACAAAACTGTGCTTAAAAACACACCTCATAATTACTGTACAGAACCGCTGATGGTATTGTCTCGTATATTAGCCTAAACTCGGTATATACAGTAGATATATCTCAACAAGTTCTTGGTACTGTACCATTTTCAGCATTTTATGTCATTACTGTCTGCCATACGGCTCTTTGGACTTTGGTGAGGGAATTGTCCACCTTTGTTTTTAACCTGTTGGGTAGCTGTTGCCCACTACTCTAATTTTTCAAGATTACTTTGTTTTCAAGGTGTCAAAAAGTTAGGACGTCACATTACAATGAAAGACAAAAGTCGTGTCGTGAAATTTGGTGAAAACATATGCTGAAGGGCTAAACTTTTGGTGCGCTCTGCCTTGTGTCATACGGTTCTCATAATGTTTCACGAGTTATATTTAATCTTCGGACAAAACCGTGACATGACTTTTGTCTTTTATTGTACAGTTCTGTATACAATCACAGGCATTTCATAAAATCTTTTAAGTGTTTGTATCTCATTTAACACATGAGCTTTACATTTTTAGGGCTGGTACATTTGGAGCCATATTGGAATATGGAGCAGAAAAGAAAGTCTCCCAGAACAGCTCTCTAGCTGCCTCAATAGCACTTGGTGTGCCAACAGGAGTTCAACTTAAAGTTAAGTAAGTAGACTATAATTATGGTATGTACAATTAATATGTATGTATTACTATTAAATAATTTGTTTGTAATTTAGGTAATTTTATGAAATACTGTACTGTACTTCCAATAGTATCATAGTTTTTAAACATAATAACTACAGTAACCTCCTCATTAGCCAGATTAATTGGTCTGAGAGATTTCTGGGTATTGAAACAAATTTTCTCACTCCCGGAATTTTTCCGGGTACTGGTGAATGTTTCTGCATCAGACTGCAGTCGGACAGAAACAAATCTTATTTATTTATGCAAATGCTGCTGTACACATGCAATATATTGTAAGTAAACAAAATATACTACTGTACTGTACTTGACAGCAGATGCTTTCATCTTGAGCTTGTCAAGGCAGGCCAAGTGGTGATATGATGATACAGGATGGCCTGCCTTTGTCCTGTACCATCTACTGTGGCATCTGGTGCTGTCACTCTCCTCCCCTTCCATGAAGGAGGGATTGCATACACACTGCATACTGTATAGTTGGCTCCACTCCTGCATTTACCACTTAAGTTTTGCCAATCCTATCGCCCCCTGAGGTGTGAACCCTGAACTCCAAAGGGTGAATTTGAAGTATTCACTCAGTGAGCAGGAGAGAGAGAGAGAGAGAGAGCAGAGGGGTAGGTCTTTGGGGGGGGGGTACTGGGGGTGAGGAGAGAAAGTGTACAGTACAGCATATATCAGTTGGGAGATTTTACAATAGAGGTTAGCGCTTTGACAATAATGACAGGTTTTCCTCAGCAGAGTGCAATCGTCTATTGCTAGCCAGATGAAAATGATATTTTTACAATAGGATGAGAGGGGGATGAATTATGTTATAAGTAAGGTGTTCCTTTGCAAAAGGGGACATTTATGAGCAAATGGATGATGGATATGTTTGAATCTGTATATTGTAGAAGCAGCGAAGTTTTGTTTAACCCTTTGACTACGGGATGGAAATCTCTCAAACGTGGAACTGCTCCGCACCCATTATTCTGGCGAAAGGGGACACTGTATCACAATTCAGTGGGCTGTTGTTAAAAAGCCTTATTTTAAAGAATATCAAACCTCACCTAATAATACCTGTTAAATGCAATGATAGTTTTGAAAGTCAGTGTGTCATTTGTTCTGAATATTCATTCTAGGTTACATCGTGCATCTCAAACTTATGCAGCTACAATAATGCTCTGTGAGGAAATTATGCCAGCACCAGTAATATATGGGACATTAGTACCACTATTGAGCTGGTTAGCCCTACAAAAGCTAATCATTCAACCATATCTACGACAACAGAAACAAGCAGAACTACTCAAACAGCGAGAAGCAAACAGAAGCAGGTAATGGCAAAGTCCTTTTTAGTTTATTATAGTTTATTTATTTTTTATCTTATTCTAACTAAAATATGATCCAGTCATAACATATAACTTATTTAATTAGTGATGAGATGCTCTGCATAGTACTGAGTAATAATTAAGTATCCCTAGTTGCCATTTGACTTACCTTATTACTCAGCTAGAATTATTTAATCTTTATTTTGCTAAGATGTTTTATTTACCAATAGATTATTCAATTTACCCCCCCCCCCCACCCCAATTTTTTTCTAGTGCATTTGATTCTCAGTATATTACAATTATTGGGACCAAGCCCATTGTTGAATAGGATTTAATAGAGTAGTGAGAGGAGTTTTCCACCTTCCACCAGGCACCTTGTGTGAGTTTATAAAACCTAATACAGAATTTCATACTGTAATAAAGTACATTCCAGGAGGATTGCGGGTTTAAGCTCTTGTAAATACAGTACACTGATGAATCAGGTCATGATTGATATTGTTAACAGTTACATGTATTGTACTGTACTGTAAATAGAAAAATATTTTTGTCTCGGCATGTTTAATGTTTCACCTAACAGTGTGTTTCTTGTACTGTACAAAATGTATATATGAATGTATAGTCTAGGGTGACTTTATGCTGTAAAGCTAACCTTAACAGATTATTGAATGCTGTATTAGAAATATGGTTTACAGTATTACCTCTCTATACTTGAAATTCATTGTATACCAAACCACTCTTCAGATTCCAGTAGTACCTCTCTATTCCAAATGAATTTGCTATACAGTACTGTATACTAAACTCTCTACCGAACTCTAGTGTGACTTAGAAATAAAGAAAATATAATATAAAACTATGAAATAAGAAAAATGAGTAGGAAATTAATTCAGTGTGGGGGAGAAGGTAGGAAAGGTGTGTTGCTGGCTGGACTGAGCAGAATATTCCCCCTGTGGTCCCATGACCCTCATAAAACTACATTATACAAGTGTATGCAATTTTACCATAATTCCCATATTATTTAGGTTTATTTGGTGCCAGGTAATATAGCATTATCGTAAAATAATAATGTTTCACACAAAAAAATCCCACACTCAACCCCAGATGAATTACCGGTATTGTGTCATCTTAAATTCCTGGTACTCTGTTAACAGAATGTCACAGCTGTCCACCCGGTCAGTCAGGGAAGGAGTTGTTTATGTACTGTAATACAGAACTACTTTTTGTACAATATCTGTGTTATTGTATTTGTTTGATGTACTACAGCATTGTGTATATTTAGTGTTGATTAAAGCCTTGTGTTACCAAACTACAGTACACTATATTAAAAAAAAAAGAAAGATCCAGTACCCTGTATTATAAAAGTTTATCTGGAATAAAATTACTGTACCAAACTTTTTCATATACTGTACTGTACTGTACAGCAAACTGTTGATTTACATCATATGCGTTCCAAAAAGGTGCAACATTATTCAGACACTAATCTTTTCAGTGAACTTTGTACAGTGGATCTCTCATTAGCATGAAACAGAGTAAACTACCAAGTTAAAGTGTTACAGTATATGGCAAATTAAGTGGTATATGACATGTTAAAGTTCTGTGCAGGTTTAAAATAATTGAAATTTTCAGTTTTTCACTTCACTTTATGCAGTAGATCCTCTCATTATGCATGAACCAAAGCAGACTACTAACTTTGTGTTGGAATAGTATACTACTGTACTATAGTTCTGTCAGAGTTGTAAAAAGTACTGGACTTTGTTACTTAAGTAAAAATATTGTTACAATAGCAAAATGTTACTCAAGTAGAAGTAAAAGTATTCAAATGTCAAAGTACTCAAGTAGAAGTAAAAAAGTATCTTACTCGTAAAGTACTCAAGTACTGAAAGTAAAAAGTAACAACAAAATTATTATTTGTCTCAAATATTAAAATAAATCCACAGTAAATTATATAAAAATAGTTAAATAAGGATAAAAATAAAAGACACATTGCATTACACCTGTTTATTTGCAAATCTTTATCGAGATTACTCAATAACTGATTCTCTAAATTATGGGTGTCCAATCAGGACCCTTTAGCCCTGAATATAAGCCCAGCATAACTTACCAAAAGAGAATATGTTCAGCCACTCTTCTCCCTACAATCCATCGCAGGGATGGTGAATGGGCTGAAAATATATCCATCCAACACTCTGATCATTTCTTCCATATCCACACAAGTATCGTCGACGTGGCCTTATGTTCCGCAGACTTAATGTTGTCTCTGCTCACATTAGGTTAGGATACAGACCTATCTAGCATGTATCTAGAGGTGGGGGATGACTCTTCCTGTAAACTCTGTAACTGTCCCATTGCTAACACCCTTCAACACTACTGTATTGCCTTGACTCTCCCACTGTCAGGGACCTCCTACCACAGGGAGAGTCACTACTACTACTTTGCTGTCACTCGGAATCGAGTATAGCAATCATCCAGCTATGATACAATGATAAGAGTTATTAAGGATGTCACCTGCATTGGTGAGTTTTGAGGTGACTAAAGAGGCCTATATGAGACTGGCAAGTTCATTTACAAAAGTTGCATATGTGGGGGACTACATCTAGTGCGGGAGGGGCGGCGGCATCGTCTTTCCGGCGTTGGCGCTTGTCTGCCTCGTCATGCAGTCTGCACTCGGGCTAACTTGAAAGTATTGGCACCTTCTTGTGTGGTGCTCCTCCAAGCATTATGGTGTGGAGTAATCATCTCCCATGTGGGGACAGAGGTTAGCATTCTATCGAGGTCGGCGTAAAAGGCCTCCTTGTTATCATCCTCTGCATCCAGTGTTGGGGCATATGCACTGATGTAAAAGGCATGACACGAGTGATTCAGTGGGACTCGAAGCTTTATGAGGCGCTTGTTGATCCCAGTAGGCATTTCAGTTAGGCTGTGTAGGATGCGTTGGCGGATGGTAAAGCCAACTCCATAAATGCGGTTTCTCTCTGCAGCAGCCTTACCCTTCCAGAAGAAGGTATAGCCAGACCCCCGTTCTGTGAGTTGACCCACATCTGGGAGCCGGGACTCACCAATGGCTGCTGCAAGGGCACAAGGGCAGTTCTTTTTTCAGGACGCTCATTTGTGCCAGTATTCAGAAGGGTCCTGACCTTCCCTGCAGCGACCTTAAGAGGTTGTATAGTTTGTTTTTGTTTGGATCTCTGATTTTGATTGTGTTTTTGACCGCATAAGGACTACCTTACTTGATGCGGTTGCCCAGTCAGGTTTTTTTTTTTTTTTTGGCAAGCTATGTTTAGGACACCTTTTCGAGCCCCCTCCCCTTGTGGGGTGAGCAGAGTGGCTCCTCGAAAGGGCTGCTCAGTCTCACAGACATGACCAGATTCCACTGCTGCCTAGATCCCAGTGCATAAACGACCATCTTATCAGTGCCGCCCATGTGCAGAGTTGTGACTAGAGATTCCCAGCAGTTATTTCTGCCTGCTCCCGTCGCCACTTGTCTGTCGCCATAGGACTTTAGGGGTATAGGGGTTTTGATGATGATGAGCTGGATGATGGCTGTGCGTGAGTTGATTTATAATAATAATAATAATAATAATAATAATAAACGGTTTATTAATAGAGTTGCAGCCGGTGGCTGAAAATATACAGACTTACATTTGTTTTAGACATAATGATATAATACGCATTGAATACATTTACAGAGCTGTACAGTACATAAATCAGGAGTTGTTTATTATTTTAACAATAGATGGGATGGTGCTGTTCTTATATCTATCAGTGCAGGCTCTTATGGGCTGAATTTTGTTGTAGTGGCGGACTGCGCGAGTTGGGTGGGGGGCTGCAGGTGGCAGGAGGTGGTGATGACAAGGGTAGTGCAGTAGTCCACGGCCAAACCTTTCCAGTGCTTGATGGTGGAGGTCACTGAGGGATGGCATTTCCAGGGTGGAGAGAGCGTTGGTGTAGCCGGAGTATTCTGCAGGCCCTTTTCTGTACCTTCTCTAGCTGATGTTGTTGGGTGGAGTTGAGAGAAGACGACCAGGCTGGTGACGCATACGTTAGTTTGGGGAGAATAAAGGCGTTGTAGATGGTCCTCAGCTCTGGCGTGGGTGTCCCAAGTGACCTAAGTCTTCGTAGCATGTAGAGACGGTACGAGGCTGCCTTGACTGTGTTATTTACATGGGCCTTCCAATTAAGTTTGTTGTCTATAGTTACACCCAGGAGTTTGGCAGACTGCACCAGCTAGAGAGGATGGGCACCCACTGTGACTGCTGGGGCTTGCTTTGGAGTGGTGGCTGTATTGATGTGCATGACTACGGTTTTGGTGTAGTTGATGGTGACCTTGTTCTCCGTAGTCCATGCCTGTAGTCTGTCCAGGGTGCCTTGGAGCGATGAGTAGTCTGGTGCGGTGTTGTCCACTGAAACCCCCACAGTGCAGTCATCCACGTACTTCCACCTGTGGGAAGACAGGAGCGTAGGCTGCAACCACACATATTGGCTCTCCCTTTTCCCGATCCAGGGAGAGTTGCAATGGACTACCGATAGCCCAGTTTGTTGGGTTTCGCTTTAGTAGCCTGTCCATCAGGCAATGCCTTCATTTGCCAGTGTAGTCGTTGGGTTCCCATGGTGGTCACCTCTTCTGCCTTTACTGCCATTAGGGTCTTGTTGGAGCTCTGTAAGCATGTCTGCCTGATGCGAGGCTCCACTGCACTTTTTTAGTTCGGTGTTTACTCCCGTAGCCTTATCCCTACCGAGGTTAATCCGCAAGGCAGCGGGGCAATGGTTGGTAGATGCCAGAACATGTCTACATGCCAGTGGGCCTATGCGCTGTCCCTCTTGGGTCCAATACTATTTTGACATCCCCTGTTGGACTAGCCTGGGCCCACGAGGCTCCCAGTTATCGTGTGTTGCCACGAGGAGGCACAGCAGGAGTCTTGATGGTGAAGAGGCTGTGTACTGGCAGGGCAAGTTGCTTCCCTATTCGCCACGATGACTAGCCAGCGGCTGCATCTGAAAGCGAGAGGGAGCAAGCAGTGCTTGTACCTTAACACTGACATAATGCTGCCAAACTAGATTCATTTCACCACCCGGTGTGCAAACACAAAACACATAGAAAGAGTCACTAACCATTATAAGTCACCACCTACTTATTCATAATAATATAGATTTAATTTTTTTACACTACCTATGCTTTTGTGGGTGCTAACTCCCATTATCCTTAAGCCATGTCAATATTGTCTCCATATCACAAGTCATAGTGTGTCCTGCAAGACACAAGTACCAATTTATTAGTGTCTGACTGTATGGTCTTGTGACAAAGCTTATCACCCCCTGGGGTGTAATAAATTAATTAAAAAATAAATAATGAGCCCTGCATGACTAATCAGATGCACACAAGAAGCAGATGCAGGTAGTGGAGTGTTAAACTTGAAAGATAATTCACATAAGTTTGGAAAGGACCTCAGTAGCTCCATTCCATCCCCTGGGCATTCCAAGTAGCTCTCAAGGTCCTTCAGCTGAGGAGTTTGTGTATGATTGTTGCCTCCATAGTGATTGAGTGACTGAGTCTGACTAAGCAAGGGTGGATTCAGGGGGTCCTGGGGTCTAGACCTTCCTTTTCACCAAAAAATTTCAATACATTTTCTTTAATGCAGCATTTTTGTGTGGTAAGAAGTATTTACTATTGCCTTGAGAATATTTCCTAATATCAAGTGCACATGGCCTCAAAATGCCCATGATATTGGTCAGCTGTGTGGACACGCTGTGCTCGCCATGTTCCCCCTCCCACAACTTCTTGGACCCCCCCCCCTTTTTTTTTTATATTCCTGGATCTGCCCCTGTTAAGACTCACTGTGAACTGCCCCTTTAATTGGGGGTCTGGCTGTGGCGATGTCACTCTTTGATTCTAATTGATGAGTGGCTGAATTTTTTGCAGCACGTAACATGGGGCGGGTGCTGGCGAGGTGGGAGCAGTGGTACTTAGTTATTTAAGCAGAATTTTAAATACACTCAGTCTCACACATATATAAATACCTGCTTTATGTCTAAGATGGAATTATGTAAAGCATTTTAGAATCACAGCTTCTTTGAAATTCATTTTAGGTACAGGTATATGCAAAGAGCAACCGGCGTCTAACGGAAAGGTGGGGGAGAAGAGAGGGATTCGATGGGGGAGGGGGATAAGAGGGTAGGCTAGGTGAGGTAGGTGGTCAAGATGCTAATGGACACAAGAAGATTAAAAGGGAAAGTTTACTGGCATGGCTACTGCCATCTGACCTGACGTCACCTCACGAGACCTTTAGGTATGTGGCTGCGTGGTGTCTCCCCACACCCACACCATACCTTTCACGGCTCCACCCATACCATGCCCTCCACCCACACAACTCTTACTATGGTTAATAATTAATTAATTAATTAGTTTGCCTCAAACATTAAAACTGTTTGTTTGTATGAGTCATGTAACGAGTAACGATTTTTGTTTTTCATTTGTATCGCAGTACGAGTATTAGAAAACCATACTTAAATAAAAGTGCTGAAACCTTTTAGTACTTTTTAAAAAGAAGACATCCAAAAATGTTACTTGAGTACAGTACTCAAGTAAACTTATTTCGTTACTTTACAACTCTTGAGTTTTGTACAGGTTAAAAATAAATGACATCATTGAATAAACATCTATGAAGAGAAATAAATAAATCACTAATCTGTGAGCATCCTGAGGTCCTCCCAGCTGACTGAATCTGTGACATCACTCGCGAGCAGCCGCCTGATCGCCACACCACGAGCCATTTCACACAATTATTCTTTCTTTGCTTCTCATTACAAAGCATCTTTGAAATAATTAAAACAAAAACTCAGACTTAAACTTAAACTAACCTGATGTCACTGTGAAGGTTACTCTCCTCTTCAGTCTGTCTATCCTCTGCCTTCCCAGGTGCTATCTCATCCCCAGTCAATTCTTCTCTTGACTCCACACTCTGAATTTTCATGTCCAAACTCTTGGAAAGATTGGATTTTTTAGATACATTACCAGCAGGACTTTTTTTATAATAATAATAATAATAATAATAATAATAATAATAATAATAATAATAATAATGTTGGGCTCAGAAATAATCAACCAATTGTTGTCACCAAAGTAGAAAGTGTAAGACTGAATTTTGGTGGGCAGGGAACGCATGGTGAGGCGGGTGCCACACTGGTGCGCATGTGATTCAAAACGACGCTGTATCAGATTTCAGCGATTTATATGGAATATTGTTCCCTGATTATTAAATGACCTTATATAAAAATGTCCCTGTTTGGTATGATGCAAATCAATGAATGCTTGTATCCTAAATCTGGATGAGTTTTTTTGGATTTGTTTTAAAATCAAAAACTCTTTATACACTATCAAACTGGTTACTCACCAATTATTTCAGTATAGACAGGTAATGCTGCATATATTTTAGTGCCAATATCATTGTGAAATTTACCAAATTGCAGTACTGTACTGTATTCTGAAGTGTGAAAACTATGACCATTGATATTTGCATATGCTTCTTTATGAAGGAGTAATTCATCATATCTTTTAGGGGTTTAAGAGCGCTTTAATGTGATTTTACGTGTGAAACATGCTATGGATATTATCATTGTTGTGAGTACCAAACAGTTATTAATACAAATTTTAAGTTGTTTTATATTCTCTGTCAAGATTATTAGAGAAACGTCGTGAAGCCATGGCTGCTGTGGACCTTATGAGAGAGACAGTAAGAAGAATAGTTGAACAAGAGGAAGCGCGTAAAGGTCTCGTCATTTTACAGTAAGTGATATCACAATCTTTAAAACAATGATGACATTTGGTAGAGAGCTGTAGGGTGGTATGGGCTGGGGTCAGATACTTGGTGGGGAAATATTTAAGAAAAAAATATAACGTACAATATTTACAGATTATTTCCAGGGGTTTGGTAATGTAATCATTTGCCTAGCTTTGGTACTAAGATCATTTTTCTGAAACATTTAACCACTTGAAACTGGAAAGAAAAAAAAAGCACCTTGTCCAGGTTTGGACCATACTTGATGAGACACAATTCATACCCCCCTCCACCCAAAAGGATAACTATAAAAGGAAAAAATATGTCAACGTGCATTATAAGACTAATGTTTATTTTAAAAATTTTAAACAATTTCTTGGACTAATATTGGATAATCTATACTTTGCTGTGTACTGCATGGGACCACATACCATGTCGTAATGTTCACTTCTGTGTCTCCAAGTTCCTACCCTTATCATATATTCTTACCCCACTCTGTATACAGTATACTCATTCTATAACCCAACCAACTTTCATTATTTTGAAAAATCACCCAAGAGTCCCAGCTGTGTACCCTCCACCACCTTTACCACTGTTGGAACAGAATAGTCACTACATTTAGGTTTCTTCTCCCTAGAAAGACAACGAGTCATGTGACAGACATTAACAATGCTGAAGCACTAATAATTCCTGTTGCGATATTACCAAGCATTGCTTGATGTTGCCACATCTAAATTATACTAGAACAAGATAGTTAAGGCAGTGCAAAATAAAACATCAACAACAACAACAATATGGCTCAAGCACATGTGGTTTCTGCAATCAGCCCCCAGGCAACAAAGCTGAGGTCCTTATATGCCAAAGCTGCAAGATAGATTACCACAAGGAATGCTTAGGAATGACTGAGCATATATTTAAACTTTCAAATGTATCTTGGCTTCTGCCATGTTTCTTTGCACAGACTGTATGAAACAGGGAAAGGAAGTATTAAAGACTATAGGGAATCATGGAACCAAAATAGATAAGTTAGATAAAGAACCTGATAAACTTAAGTAACAAATAACAGAACTTCAGCAATCAATGCAGGAAGGATTAAACAACTTACAAGAAATTGTGGCCAAATCACCACCCACAGTGGATCAGACTGATAAACAACCTCATTATAAAGAACTTTGTGAGGAAGAAGGGAAAGACAGACAAACATTCAGTCAGACAGATGCTTAGAAATATGTTTCAAGTTTTTCGACGGGTTGCACATTTCAAATGTGGAAAGGCATAACAAATGCACAGCGCAGTTAGTGAAGATTACCTTCCCTAAACATGAGCACAAGAGGTGTATCTAAAAGAAGGCAAAGAAACTCGAGCAAGTAACAGAATGTAGTAATGTCTATATAACCCGGAACCTGACAATTCGCCAAAAAAAAAAGTTGTCAAAGAGCTGAGGGATAAACTGAAGAAGCTGTGCAGTGACCCACAATATGGAAATGCTCTGCTAAAGATCAGAAGAGGCTAAGTATTTAGAGTGCAGGAAAATGGAGAAATAGAAGTAATGTGCCAGCCCTCCCACGAGGGCATTCTGTAGCTTTAACCCTTTCGCCCTGGGCTAGGGTGCCGCTGGCCGTGTCACCCCACGCTGTGGTAAATCGAGAAAAATAAAAACTTATCCAAAAATAATTTTTAACCTTTTTAAATGATAAAACAATCAAAAACAAGTAAAAAGAACTATATATTGATCCTCTCGAAACTTCCCTGTGACAGCTGTGGCGAGGGAGATAAAGGGAAAGTGTTGTTTTGACAGCTGACGCTCGTGGTCACTGTGCACTTAGCTGCCATTTTCTGCTTGCCTTTGTGTCCGGGATGACCAGAAATGCATATATTTACTGATCATAATACTTATTTCTTATAAATAATTCATTTAGAATATTTTATTTTCATTATTTTTCATAAAAAGTGCTCGGCAACACACACATTGTTGGTTGCCAGGCTGTCTGTGTTTGGTAGAGCAATAAATGCATAAAATAATAATAATTCCACAAATAAATACATTTATAACATAATCATTACATTATTTTCCAGTAATACTACACTACAATACAACTACAGTGGGGTATGCTACAACGAACGGATACTACTACGAATATTCCTATAACGAACGGTTTTACCTATAAAATTGAGAATGCTATAACGAACGAAACTCCTACAACGAACATTATTAAAAAAAAAATTTTTTTTTTTTTTTTTTTTTACAAATTTATTGTTTTTTTATTACAAGTATTAATGATACTCTTTATTTCAGGGGTTTAGATGCATATTTATGCACTTTTTTACAATTTTTACAATTTTATATTATATTTTTCAGTGTTAAGTGGTTGTATTTGGGGGCCTGGAACGGATTAATCCTATAACGAACGAATGCTATAACGAACAAGGTTCTAGAACCAATTAGATTCTTTATAGCATACCCCACTGTACACTACTTTTAGCAATATTACTTTGATACAACATGATAAATTGGACAAAATATGAAAAAGAAAAACAAAAGTAGGTAATTACGTTCAGGAAGCTTCCCTGAGGCTGAGCGTGTGGCGTGACAGGCAAATAGTCACATGGGAACCTGATAACCCTGCGCTGGACATTTAAACAGTGGCGGGAAAAGGCACGAGTTCTGAAATGTCACTCAGGGCGCGCTGGTCAGGCGTTCAGGTACATCACCCGGGGCGTAAGGGTTACCGGGTAAGTAATATTACTAACTCGGTGAGATAAAATGCTGTATTGAGTGGACATGCAGACACAGAACAACCAGACATCATTGGAATTAGTGAGTCCTGGGGTCGAGATGATGTGTCATAGGTTAAATTTTATTTACCAGGGCATCACCCTCCATTTAGAAAAGACAGGGCCACAAAAGGTGGTGATATACTAAGTCGAGGAGAACCTGACAGCAACCATTGATGATGAGCTAAATGAAACAGGATCATTCAAGTCTATTTGGTCCCCGAGATATGCTAGGGACTGTCAGTTGGTTGAAAATGTTCAAAGGAGGGCCACCAAACTGGTGCCTGCACTTCGGCATCTCAGCTACCCTGAGAGATTGGAGCGCCTGAACTTGCCTCGCTTATACTACAGACGGGCAAGGGGGGACCTAGTTGAGGTTTATAAGCATCTCAGGGGGCACTACTCAGTTGAGTGTCCTTACTTGGAGCTGGCGGACGCTCGCCCCACAAGGGGTCACAGCTCAAGATTGAAGAAGCCGCAAGTCCGGAAAACCGTGAGGGCAAACTTTTTCGGAGTGAGGGTTGTAAACTCTTGGAACAATCTACCAGAGAGTGTTGTGACGGCACCGAGTGTGAGCTCTTTCAAGAGAAGACTTGACCAACACTGGAGCGGGTTCAGGTACATTCAGGAGCCGGTGCATGCCCAGTATTTGCCAACAGTGCGTGACAGAGACGTGACCGATCGCCCGGGCGGCTAGCGAGCCGATCAGTGGCGAAGAGGATAAAAGTAAAAAAGATTTGATAGCCCAAAACAAAAGGAAGCTGACAAAAACAGCTAATACCTTAAATGAATGTTTTGCATCAAGTGTGATTACTCAGGCTAATAGTAGTAGGTCTCACATCAATCACAACAACACAGTTCCTGCAAGCATAAAATTATTTAAGATACACTATACACTTGTTGAGTAATGACAATTTACCATTTACAATAGATTACAGTATTATTAAATATACAGCATGCCCTGAAAATTTGTGGATTTTTAATTTGCGGTCCTTGATTATTCGCGGATGACACCCAGGATGTACCCAAGAATGTCTGCAGGTGGTTTTAAAGTTGCTGGCATTTTAGCTGCAGGGACAGGGAGCCATTCGTTCTTGAGAAAGTAATTTCTTTTACCTGTATTGTATATGTGTGTACACGCACATACACACTTGTCAACCACCAGCGAGACAAGACGTGCCCTGAAGGCACTCCCAGTTTGAGCAGCCAGGTTTAGTCTTTTGCCCCGGCTATATCCCAACGCCCTACCAGCCTTACTACACCGGGATTTATTCAGCAAAACATTCAAGTGATCAGTGAACGATTGACTACCAAACAGTGTTCCTATAGTGCACTCCAAGGAAAAGCACAATGGCACAGCAGTGTAATATTGAGTGTGGCTGGATCTTACCTAACCTGATCTGACCTTATGGCTTCACCTGACCTAACCTGAAAGACAGAGCACACATGCATTGCCCCAAGCTACTGACCTGGCCACGTGGCCACACACCTGCCCAACCACATCCAGCCCATACCAGCACGAACTGATTGCTATAAGAACAGCCCAGTCCCAACCACTGTAAAAATTATCAACACCTAATTATTATATATCATATTTGTATCACTTATGATACTTGTATATCATTTGTAAATCAAGAGACCCATTCCCCAATTATGTAATTGAATATTTTCAGCCTTCCAGCTGCCATGCTCTTTCAATAAACCGTTGATTATTATCACACACACACACACACAAACAAACACACAAACACAACACACAACATACACACACACACACACACACACACACACACACACACACACACACACACACACACACACACACACACACAAAAAAAAAAAACACACACACACACAAACAAAACACACACACACACACACACACACACACACACACACACACACACACACACACACACACACACACACACACACACAAACACACACACACACACACACACACACACACACACACACACACACACACACACACACACACACACACAAACACACACACACACACACACACACACACACACACACACACACACACACACACACACACACACACACACACACACACACACACAAACAAACACAAACAAAACACACACACACACACAAAACACACACACACACACACAAACACACACACACACACACACAAAACACACAAACAGAACATAAACACACACACAAAACACAAATAATCGGAAACAAGCCAATAAACTGTATCGAAATGTAGAAAAAATTTGAGTCTACTCTCATGTCACCCGTGCTCACCCAGGCACAGGTCATCGACCCATAACAGGGTATAGGGGACGAAAAAATAAGAGTAAAGAGATATTTAAAGAAAAATAAAGAAAAAGACTTAATCTACACCACGAAGGTGCCAGAAAACCAGCTTTTTGAAGTGAGGCAGATTGTACGAGTACAGAAACACAGAAGAAGGTAGAGCATTCCACAGTTTGGCTGTGTGGGGAAAGAAGGATGTACTATAATGGGTTATTCTAGTGTGACCAACATCCACACCACGGGCAAGACGAGTGTTACGAGCCCACGGTCTTGCTGGCAGTACACAGGATGCCCAATCCACCGAACTTTGCCTGTTAAAGAACCTGTAAAAGAGAGAGAGTGAAGCAACATTGTGGCTAAGACAAAGGGAAGAGAGATATCAACTAAAGGAGGAGAGTTAATAAGACGAAAAGCCTTTGATTCCACCCTATCTAAAAGTTGGACAGAAGAAGAGCCATCTCAGATATAAGAGCAATACTCCAAGTTAGGATGAATGAATCCCTTATAAACTTGAAGCAACTGCTCAGGATTGAAGTAACTATGGCATCTGTACAGCATTCCCAGCTTTTGGGAGGCAGCTTCAGCAATTTTGTGGATGTGTGGCTTCCATGACATATTAGAGGAAATGGTTAGACCTAGTATATCTATTTTAGAATTTGGCAGAATGATTTCATCCTGAAATGTGATTGGTGGGAGATCATCTAATTTGGAAAGTGTAATTGGTAAATACTGTACTGTGTTTTATTGCTATTGAAATTAACCAAGTTTCTACCTCCCCATTTGGAGATGCTGCACTGGTCTGCATTACCTCTTGAATTTTAGCATTAATGCTAAAAATTATCGAATTGTTTAATGTTGTTACTTTCTATTCACTGCTCTTCTTGAAAATTCAGTGCAGTTGTATAAATTTTTGGTAGCTGTAAGAGACAATTGATGATGTAGTCAATGGGCCAGATGTCAAATGGAATTTCAGTTTTTATACTGTATTTGTCATCAGTCTCCAGGCACTGTTCCTCATAAAACTTCAGTAGTACTGTACATTGCTTTTGGGCAGAGGAGAGGTTTTCCATATTTTGGAGATAATGATAGAATGATAGAATTTAAGTGGCCACATAATAATGCTCCTTTCTATTTACAAGTTCATAAAGTGGGCATAATTATTATGTCCTCTTTTTTTTAATGACCTTTTAAATTTTTTTAAAGGTGAGAATTGATAACAAATAACCTTTGTATCATATTCCAGAGCATGGTATGGACAGCTTGTGGTAGAAGGATTGGAAGAGGAGTGTGGGTCACCAGAGGTAGTTGATGTTTCCATTGCCCTACAGTGTTTGGTGAAAGACTCAAAGTTGATATTACAAGAGTCATCCAAGGTATGTCATGTTAAGTGCTGTGGAAAAAATCTCGGCAATATTATATTTATAATCATGTGATAATGTAAATTTGGGTGCTGGCTTGGTTAAATACTTTTTTTAAACAATAGCCACCCAAGGAAGCACTCGTTCATGATTTAGGAGGGCTTAAGAGGTGCCCCCCTTTCTCTCTCTCCTTTGTATCAGTTGATGGATTTTATTCTAGGTCACCAGGTCATTCTGCTTCTAGCTTTATTATCTGTATTCAATAAACTAACTTACAGCATGACAGTCCTGACTCGTTTATAAGACAGTAGTAAATGTTCAACCAATGATTATTAATGCAGTTTGCAAGCCTTATCATTTTACAGTCAAATATTACTGTATGTATGCTTAGAGTGCCAGTTCTTGTTCATTTGCATTTGGCTAAGCTAGATACAGTATACTGTTTCTTATAGAAATGGAAAATTTTCCCTCCTTTGACATCCCGGTTACAGTTTACTCACCAAATGGCTGTATGACTTTTATTATTGTTGCTCTACTGCTGATCAGTGATTTCTTACACATTCAGTCCATCACTCAATAGACTTGTGTGTTAGAACCTATGCAGGAGCTTTGACATACCCAAAATATCTGAGAGTTTATCATGTATAACTGTTTACAAAATTTCTTTCCTTTGACCTTTCTCTTTAATTTATTCTCTCTCTAACCATAGAGTTCCTGTAATTGTAGATGATATTTTTTCTGACTCCATGTTCAATTATGGGCTTCCTCAAAGTTTCACACTAACTCCAACCTTTTCGTATTAGACATTAATGATCTCTTTATTGTGGAAACCCAAGACGACAGATATATCCTTCCTTACTGGAAGATGATTTACACTTACTTAAATGAGGTGCATTCAGTGTGGTTTTCTTCAGTAACACAGAGAAATACTTAATATATATAAACAGGCAAAACATTCATATAATCACAACACAACATAAAAATTTGAGAAATCACTCTTACCTTGAGTTATAGTGCAGACTTTCTCAGATCTCTGCCAAAACTGCTTCATTAAACATTGGAAGCTCATGCTCTGACTTAGGCCCAACTTTATTTGTGAATGTTTGATAACCATTTATGTAGACCATTCTTTCAGATAGAATACTGGTGTTGTTTCTGGGCTTGTGTGTAATGTTGTGGCACTTGGCTTTCTTAATACTGGTGTTGTTTCTGGGCTTGTGTGTAATGTTGTGGCACTTGGCTTTCTTAATACTGGTGTTGTTTCTGGGCTTGTGTGTAATGTTGTGGCACTTGGCTTTCTTAATACTGGTGTTGTTTCTGGGCTTGTGTGTAATGTTGTGGCACTTGGCTTTCTTAATACTGGTGTTGTTTCTGGGCTTGTGTGTAATGTTGTGGCACTTGGCTTTCTTAATACTGGTGTTGTTTCTGGGCTTGTGTGTAATGTTGTGGCACTTGGCTTTCTTAATACTGGTGTTGTTTCTGGGCTTGTGTGTAATGTTGTGGCACTTGGCTTTCTTAATACTGGTGTTGTTTCTGGGCTTGTGTGTAATGTTGTGGCACTTGGCTTTCTTAATACTGGTGTTGTTTCTGGGCTTGTGTGTAATGTTGTGGCACTTGGCTTTCTTAACTGATGTGTTTCTGGGCTTTGTGTGTAATGTTGTGGCGCAGCTTCTTAATACTGATGTGTTTCCTGGGCTTGGTGTAATGTTGGCGCAGCTCTTAATACTGATGTTTCTGGGCTTGGTGTAATGTTGTGGCGCACTTGGCTTTCTTAATACTGATGTTGTTTCTGGGCTTGGTGTAATGTTGTGGCACTTGGCTTTCTTAATACTGATGTTGTTTCTGGGCTTGTGTGTAATGTTGTGGCACTTGGCTTTCTTAATACTGATGTTGTTTCTGGGCTTGGTGTAATGTTGTGGCACTTGGCTTTCTTAATACTGATGTTGTTTCTGGGCTTGGTGTAATGTTGTGGCACTTGGCTTTCTATAACCACTGCAGGTAAAGGCCATCAAAACATTCAATCAGAAATGATGTTGCCAGAATGCTTCCATCATTGCACATTCATGGACCTTCCTTATTGGCATTTTTGCACCTAATAATAGCCTCCCAAGACATATAGGAGGGTCTGTGCATTTGCTATCTGTGTTTTATCTTCATTAATACCCCAGACTAATTGTGCAAAACACCCTGGGACAGAGTGCTTTTTGTACTTCTTATAACCCCTAGCAATTCTCAACATCCTGCATTATCTATCTTTAATCTTTGGCATGGGGATGCTTAGGGGAACAGATTTGTTTATGAGACTCGTATGATCTTCCCTGTTAGTGAATGAATTTGGGAGTGTGTGTATGGAGTTGATGATCAAAATGAATGTAAACAAAACTATGTGTTGGAAATAAGTATGGAACAGACAAGGATAAATATATGTTAATGTGAAAGAAGATTGAGATAAAGAAGTGAGATGTTTCAGGTATGATGGGAATGAAATTGTCAATAAATGGAACAGTGAGTGATAACTGAATCTGGATAGAGGAGGTAAAGGCTAGTAGGTGCAATGAGAAATGTATATAAAGAGAATGAGAACCATGTCAAAAGAGATAAAGATGGGATGTATTAGGAAATTGTTGAGCTTACTTACTATTGTATATTGGTCTGAAATGTGGATTTTGGATTTAAGAGGAAGAAACAAATTAAAATTAACAAATAACATGTTTGAGAATATGTACAGTATAAGATAAATAGCGAGCAGAGAATGAAAAAGTACAGAAATAAAGATAAGTGGAAGTGATAGAACTGTCGGACAGAGAGCGGGTCTGGGTTTGCTCAGGTAAATGTCTGTATTGAGAGCATGTAAAGCAAAAGATAGGTAAAAACTAAAAAAAGTGTACAAATCAGAGGTGGATGGTAAAAGGGGATAGAGGAAGACCAAGAAGATGAAAGGATGGATTGATAAGTACTAGAAATAAGGAGGGATATTCAAGAAGCAGCAGAGCACATGAAGGTTTGGAGTGGGGATGGGGGATGTCACTACAGTGAATTGGTGAAATTGAGTAAAAGACATCTAGTTTTGGTATTGAATATGGCTACCCTGTTGCAAAAGCTAAAAGTTTTCCAGACCATACTACAGTAAACCCTCGAAGATCCGTACAAGGGAAATCCGGATTTCGGAAGATCCGTACAAAAAAATTGGGGGTTCTCAGCCAAGAAGCCTCCTAGAAATTTCCCTAAGAAATATTCCCAAACCAGAGCAAATAACATTTTAGGCCTGGGGCGCTCCTTCATCCATTAGTTTGTTTGTTGGAGCTCTATAGGCATGTCTGCCTGATGCGGGGCGCCACCGCAGATTTTTCGTTCGGGGTTTACCCCCATAGCCTTATACCTATCAAGGTTAATCCGCAAGGCAGCGGGGCAATGGTTGGTAGGTGACAGAACGTGTCCACATGCCAGTGGGCCTATGCGCCGTCCCTCTTGAGATCCACTGCTACTCCGAGATCCCCTGCTGGTTTAGCCTGAGCCCATGAGGCACCCAGTTACCGTGTGTTGCCACGAGGGGGCACATCAGGAGTCTTGATGGTGAGGAGGCTGTGTACTGGCAGGAGAAGATTTTTGCAAGTTGCTTCCCTGTTCGCCACTAGGGCTAGCCAGCGGCGGCAGCTGAAAGTGAGAGGGAGCAAGCAGTGCTTGCACCTCAACACTGACATAATGCTGCCACACTAGATGCATTTCACTACCCTGTGTTTGACATGCACACACACACCCTCCAACACCACCCCTCACCCACACATTACACACCCCAACACACATGCACACTCCAACAACCACTCACACACCCTCCAACATCATCTCCCCCCCCTCCACACACACACACAAAATTCAGGAATTAAGAAAGCAAGCATGAGGAGCAAGTGTCTTATTGTACGGCAAATTTGTGTGTGTTTAGTAGCGAGTTAAATATCAGCTGTTGAGGAGCACTTGGCAACACTCCTTCCCACTTCATTTCTCTAATCACTCACACCTTTCTGCTTTCTCACTCCATATTTTAAAATGTTATGCAATGTAATGTTGATGGGATACAACTTTGCTCATTTATACATAGACTTATCACAATCTCCCTAAAAATACTTCAGCTTTTGTGTTTATTCAAGACATCTTCAGGTCAGGAGACCCACTAATCCCCTACTCTACCTCCACCTGACAGTCAGGTCAGTTACACGAGACCCACTAATCCTCCACAGCTCCATGGGAGTGGAAAATACCAGACTGTGCTGTAACGCAGCTTCATTCTTGCCCGTATCATATAGATTTTTTATTTTTAAATGTATTCATTGAACCAAACTTTTAGATAAACTATTCTGGATTATTATAGTAAAGAAATGGAGTCTCTAACTTAATTAGAACTACATTTACAGTCTCTGGTAGTTTAGACTCGAGGAAAACATCCCAACACCCAGAAACATTCTGGGGTAATGTCTGTCTGTGTAAGATGTCTAGTTTAGTTTTCCAAAACTTTTCCCAGTAACTGGAAAAGATTCCAGGGATAAGGAATTTTCCAGGTAATGAGAAAGTCGTCTGGTTAGCTGGAAATCTCTCATCCCCGGAAGTGCTTTGCACCAATTGTTTCGGCTAATGGGGATATCACTGCAGTAATATCTTTGTTAGACAAAATTCTTCTTAACTGGTACTCTCCAATAGCTGGAATTGAAATTTAATGAGGGGCAAATTTTCTGAAAAATTCCGAGAAAATTTTCCCATTACCCAGAAAATTACGGGGATGGAGGAGTTTTTCCCAGGTTTGAGAGATAAAATCCAGGTGCAGTTTTTGGAACTTCTGAGAAAATTTTTCTGTTACCCAGAAAATTCCGGGGAAGAGAGATTTTTTCCGGCTTTGAGAGATGATGTATGCACAATTTCTGGAACTTCCGGGAACATTTTTCCGTTACCCGGAAAGTTCTGGACAATTCCGAGGGTGTGGGATTTTTTCCGGCTTTGAGAGAGTCGTCTCATTACCTGGAAATCTCTCATTTCTGGAAGTGCTCTTCACCAATTGTTCCAGCTAACAGAGATATCACTGTACAGTATTTAAAATTTTCTAACACCCTCTGTGAAATGCTAATGCCTTGAAATCATTTGCATTTTGAGTCCAGATATTTAACATTATTTTAGAGAATAACAGGTCTACTTACCAATTGTGAAACATATTTAGTTCGAATAAATGGACAGCTACACAAACATTTTTTTTTAACAAAGCAGCTATTTTTATAGAAGGGGCGTGGCTTACAGGGCAGGTTAGCGTGGAAATACTATAATCATTTATATTTCTGTTAAAGGATCCCCATCTCTCACTTGCATATTGCCATTCATGTTTGGTAATGATAATCTCCTTTTCATATTTTGGGGTAAAATTTTTCTTGGCTTTGGCCCATATTAATGCTTCACCCCATTCTTATTCAAAATTTAGCCCCCCCTTGTTGTCACTAGTGTATATGAAATCCTTTCTCGCTAATTCCATCAGTAATATATTTTGCACTTTATCCATATACAATAATTGAAGTTGCAATAGCTTATTCTCATATCTTACAGTGTTCACTTCCTGGCTTTTATGATCCCTGTCCTGGAGAAGAGAAGAACCTGCGGGTACGTTATCTATTCCACGCCGTCACTCATGAGGTGACAATCAGGGATAATGAGTCACTCAGGATACCTAAACAATGTAAGTAATTATTCTAATACCATAGCGGAACCCCAAAAATCCAGCATGTCAAAATATAGGATTTCTAAAAAACTGGCACCACTTATATTTGAAAATATTTTGATTTAATTTGAAATCTAGCAAATATTCCAAAATTTAGAACATCTGGTCATAATTCCTATTGTTGCTGCTCTGTTGTCCAGGGCTGTAGGTGCCCAGACTACTGCTCTTCTATTATTTACAGTTCCTGAGTTTGTGATAGTGCATCTCCAGTCATTTCATTGTTGTTATTTTTTCAATCATAATGGCTTGTAATGAGAGGTCACTGTACTGTGATGAATGTAGATTATCAAAAGTTTCAAAATTCAAGTAGTTTTCTTTAGCAGTCATGAAAAATGTGGATGGACTTAATGCAGAAGCTTGATACTGATATACAGTATGCTCTCAAGTTCGCGGTTCTCGGTTATTCGCGGATGACACCCTGGATGTACCCAAGAATGTCTGTGGGTAGTTTTCAAAGTTGCCAGTATATTTGCAGCTGGGACAGGGAGCCATTCATTCTAGAGACAGTAATTTCCTTTACCTGTATTGTAAATATGTGTGTGTGTGTAGACACACACACACACACAAAACACATCCAAATATATAATAATTGGAAAATCCTCTCACAAAAAATCAGAAATTTTTTTATTAAAAATGTAACAGCCCACCCTCAAGTCCGTGCTCTATTAATAAAGTAATAAATCACAGACTTGAGGGTAGACTGTCACTTTTTTAACAAAATTGTTTTTGATTATTTGTGAGAAGAATTTCCAATTATTATTTACAGCTCCTCCCCGACTTACGACCATCCATACGTACGACCGCCTCGGTCGTACCAAACTTTTGTAAAATTATGTATTTTCGAGTTCCAACGTCAGTGATTGCGCTGTGTACTGACAAAATTTTTTTTTGTAATTCACTTTAAATGGCTGGGAAGCTTAAAAGTGAGAGATTTTGTGGCACTGAGAAGAAAAAGAGACACCCATTTTAGATTTTCTATGTATTATTTAAGCATTTTCGACTTACGACCTTGATTTGGGTCCCTAACCCCGTCGTAAGTCGGGGAGGAGCTGTATTTGGATGTGTTTTGTGTGTTTGTGTCTTAACGTAATCTTTGTCTGTTAATTGTATTTTAGAAGTACAGTAGAAACAAGCTATTTGGTAAAAAACTAAGGCAAAAACCAGAGATGTGAAGAAGTCTGATAAAATAAAGACGTACAGGTAATTTCTTTTTTAGTAAATTAAAAGTAAAGACCCACGTACTGGAATCTGTTCTTCAGACAGCTATCAGCAGGAAGGTAGAACTGTTCAAAACAACAGCTAGCATAATACAGTAACACAGATTGGCTTATTTATAATCATAATAAATTAGTTTAAGTAAATAACCATTCTTATGATATACACTCAGGTAATTAAATTGTTTCTTATTTAAAGTGTTAATAGATGTAGGTAAGGTTCTTCAATCTAGAGCATACGTGTAAGTGGCATGGTTGGCCTTGTGCTCTGTGAGATAAAGTGGATGATGTAGTTGTGTACATTATACTGTACAGTATATACTTGAGCACAGTTCAAGTTTTTATGATAAAATTTTAAGGCAAAAAGTTTTGGTCAAACTATATATGCATAATATTTTTGTGGGGGTTAAAATTCTATACAGAATATGTTCGATTTATGAAGAATGACTAAGCAAACCAAATTGTACTTGCAATATACAATACATATCAGTCTGCATGGAATCTGCAATGTTACTGATGTGTAAATTGCATTGATTTAACACCTTAATAAGGTTACAAATCAAGTGACTTGCAGGCAACAGATATTTGTGATTGTAAGTTTCAGTGTGGCACCAGTTGTTTCATGGTGCCTAATCTATTGTGATACTTTGGGTATCTCGGCGTTACATAAAGTACTCTTGTTGTGAAAGGCAATGATAGCATATCTCACATCTTGTAATGTCTACCCAATAATTCCTCGCCATGTTCAGTGTATGAGGGCGAGGTCGTCAGCATTCTGAGGTTCAGTAGTGGAATCCTGCCAACATCTTTATTCCTGCCTGGAGTCGCAGGTAGTAGGCAGCTACCAAACAGGGAGGTACTACCACCTGGGAAGATATTGGAAGCATAATGTGTTGTCTATGGTAGACCCTGCTGTCATATGGCATCACAAAAATTGTGATCAAGTCCCAGGTTGCTGATCTGACTTTCTGCCTCATTTACACACAATTGCAGGGTCTCAATTGTTTCTCTTACTATTGACAGCATAACATACATACTGTATATTGTTTCTCACTCTTAATATTTGTTTTTTCATTTTTGTATTTCTTTATGGTTCTTTATTATTATTTTTATTTTTTTATTATAAATTTTACTTATCTGAATTATTATTATTATTATTTTTATTATTATTAATATTAATAATAATATTATTATTATTACAACTTCGCCCCCCAGGCCCCAATGTGGGTCAGTGACCTGTTCCCGCGTGGGGTAATCCCCTTAAAAAAAAAAAAAAAAAAATGTTGAAAAGACCATTCATCCAGTACAGGATGTCCACCCTGCCGGCTAAATTGGCACTGGCACGAGTATGGAAGGCAGCCAAGAAAATGGGAAAGAGAGCTGGTGCCAGTACACACCCTTGTTTAACCCCCGTTTGGATGGGGAAGAACTCGGACTGGGTGCCATTGTGCAGGACACTGCCGTTCATGCCATTGTGGAGTTGCCTCACAATGGCGATGAATTTTGGTGAGCAGCCAATACAGCTGAGGGTCCACCAGAGGGCTTCCCTTTTGACCGAGTCAAAGGCCTTAGTTAGGTCTATGAAAGCTATGTACAGGTCACAACGCTGTTCTCTGCAATATTCCTGTATCTGGAACGCAGTAATGAACATGTCAATGGTGCCAGCTAAATCCACATGGAGATTCTGGGAGGAAGTTCTCCTCCTCAGGAAGAAGTCTGTTTAGGAGGACTCGGGCGATAATCTTACCAGCTACGGGCAGTAGCGAGATCCCGCGGTAGTTGCCACAGTCTGACCGGTCTCCCTTGTTCTTATAAATATTGAGGATGCAGGCATCTTTAAGAGCCTCGGGAATTTCCTCCTTTTCCTCGGCTGGGATTCCATTAGGCCCTGAGACTTTGTTATTTTATGTGTTTGATGGCAGTAGCTATCTCATCCTGGGATGGAGGATAGCTGAGGTGGGTTAGCTGTGGATGCTGAGGGACCTGCTGGGTAGTCAGGACATCCACATCGGATTTTTGGTTGAGCAGTGAATGGTAGTGCTCTTTCCAGCCCTGAAGGAGGCCTTCATCATCTTTAATTAGGGCGTTACCGTCGGATGAACGGAGGGGGGCTGTGTCAAGAGTGCTGATCTGCAAATTTTTGTTTCACATGCTTTATTTTTAAACCAGTCGTTCTTTAGATTGTGAAGTTCCTGCTGGGCCTCCGCTTTCTTCTTGCGGAAGGTATCAGCTTTGGTCCGAAACTGAGGGTCATTCTGCCAGTCAGTTAAAGCAGCACATATATCATTGACGAGTACATTGATGGCCAGGTCACTTTCATCAAACCAGTCCTGGTGTATTCTTTTGATCTGACCAAGGGTCTCTCTGCAGGTTTTTTTGTCATGACAGTGTTGAGAATATCCCATTTGGCACTGGGATTTGGGTTGTTTGTTGTCAGGTTGTTTATCAGCCCATGTTTGAGCTCCTCTCTGATGGCATGTGCTCCCACTGGATCCTCCAGACGTTTAGTGTTAAAACCTCTTCTGGAGGCTTGTTGCCTTCACCGTTTTGGGGCAATGTGAAGTAATAGCTTGGTTCTGATGAGCTGATGATGATCAGTGTCGCAGTGGTCTGAGCCATGCATAGCTCGGGGATGAGGACATCTTGGCAATCTCTTTCTCTGACATTGATCATAGGTGTTGCCGTGAACCCTTGAATTTGTCGGCTTGCCTTAACAAGGTATTGGTGATAGTGAGATGTGCATCACACTTGCTGAGGAGAAGCTTAGTCCAGTTCTCCCTATGTCAGCATCTCTGGCCAACTGTCATTAAAGTTCATCAAGGAGCACAACCTCATCTTCTCTGGTGATAGAGGTTAGCACTTTGTTGAGGTCAGCATAAAAGGCCTCCTTTGATGTCATCCTCTGCATCCAGTGTTGGGGAGTATGAACTGATGAAAAGGACATGATGTGAGGGATTTAGTGAGTTTTGGAGGTCATGAGGCACTCGTTGATCACACACACACACACACGATGTATGCATGCATACCCATAAAACTATGCAAGTACATTTATACACATATACATAAGTATATTCACACCTACATTTGCATAAATGTGTATGAAGGTGGCTTTATTAAACCTTTGTTGTGTGTGTGTGAGCGAGCTAAATTATGTCATTGTCTAAATCTTATTTATTTCAGCACATCGCTTGGAAACTTAACAAAGAGGACAGCCAGTGCTTGTACATACCAAAATTTTTGCCCTCTTCCAAATTGTACATACCGTAGAAACTGATTCAGAGTAATCATCAAAGGATGATTGTATATTAGTTAAACTAAATTAGGCAATTGATTTGAGTCAGCATAAGATTACTATTCCATACAATACATTGAAATTGTTGTTTATTTGTTTGTCTATATAAATGTTTAATAATTTAATTTACCATGAATACATAGTCACTATGTACAGTATTTTGATTGCTGTTAATGCAATTTTAGAAGCAAAACTTACACATAGATGTAAGCTCTACATAACTATGGGATTAACTCTGATTATATTATTGAATACCATTTTCACAACTAGATGTTATGAAGTGAGAACTTTCTAAAATTCCTCAATCAAGTTAATTATATATTAGCTGTATACATGGCAGGAATAAAGGTATTGTATGGAGGGAATAAAACAAAAAGGAATTATTGTCAAATGTCACTAAATTGCAGAAACTCTGTAAGCATTATTAATGTACCATCTGTTGGATTATGGACTAGAATAAATTCAATAAATAACTGTGTTTGTTTACCCATAGGTAAATTGGGCGAGAGAAGATTTTTAAAAAATTACAAAAATTATCATTGATAAATATTTTATTGACTAAAGAAATGTACTCAACCCACTGAACAATGCCTTCTCTGTTCAATGTCTCTCCATTTAAAAAAAGTGAATATGAAAAACAATAATTTTATACCTGCATACATATATAATTACAACCTGTACATTTTATATAAAAAATATCGATACCTACTGATAATAAACTTTAATGTAATCACAATGGATACTTGTATAAAATATCCACGATGTCTACCGTGAATTTGAACGTAAATTATCTCCTTGGACTATAAAGTAACTTGTATTATTATTTACTCCCAACTAAAGTATAACTTCATTATAGTGCCTATCACAGAACATTATTTTACATTACCTGATATTGAAAGGCAAGGCTCCTGCATCAAAAGCATTTTCTCTAAGTACAAGACTAGAACTTCATTAATATACTGTATCCTACCAAATCATATAATTTTTACTATTCTCTTATGTACAACTCCTGGATACTTATGTTATTATTTAACATTCGTAAGTGCTAGGGAGTGGAGCTGATGCACTAGTGTTAGAAGGAAGATACATGTGTGGGTGTTGCTCTTGTAGAGGCAAAGATGGTGGAGGTGCAGATGGAGCAGTGGTAGATAACAGATGAGTCAGGTGATGCAGGACAGGATCAGAGAGTATATCTGCCACAAGCCTTGCGAGGAGCACATGAACATCTGGTAAACAATGGGCTGGGTCCTCCACAAACTGTGAGAGATATAAAAACATTGTTTTTTAGTAAAATATATCTGTTGTTTTGCAATATTATGGAAAAGGGCTTGAAAGAATTACTAAATATAAATTCATATAAAAAAAAAAAAAAAAAAAAATACTGTACAATTACAGTATTAGGTGGATAGTCTGTGATAATTAACCCTTAAAAGATTAAATCATAAATAGATGATTAGCACCTCTTATCCCTCATGATGGCCATCTGTATACAGTAATCCCTCGCCAACCATGGGGATTAGGTTCATGGGAAACCCCGTGTTGGGTAAATCCGCAGTTGGTAAGATAGAGGCTTACAGGAAATAGGGGGTTAGGTTCTACGGCCATTGATAACACTTGTCAAATCCTAAGTCCCCTGTTCTTTAGCAAAACAATACCTACATTGTATATTTCATTAAATTTTAGTCAAATACATATAAACAGAGTAATATAAATTTAACAGTACAGTATAACGGGTATTGACCTTCACTGAGGACAATGGTGGATGAAGATGATGTGGAGAAAGAGGTGGTTGTTAGATAACAAGGAAAAAAGGGACACAGGCTTACTCTCTTTTGCACTTTTCCATAAGCCACCAGCAACACTAGCCCTATCATAGCCTCACTTCTCTTAATAGTACAAATCGAAGATTTGTTTACCCCTATGGCACGTCCCATGGACACTATGCATGTGTCAGTCTATCGAATACACCAACTTTCTTTTCTAGTCATTACGTTCCTCACCTTCTTCTCATCTTTATCACTGACACTATATTCACGCTTAGGGGCCATAATTAAAGGCAAAATCAAAGTTATTACTGTAAAAAATGCGTAATAAATATCAAGTGTATGGAGCAATAAAATACATCTGCATGGTACTAGCTCACAATACTGAGAGAGCATGGATGAATACAGTGGAGCACAGAGTGAAAATAATATTGCACTGAACCATGCAGAGTAAAAAAAACTGTGGCGAAATGAAATCCACAGTTAGGGAGGGACTACTGTAATCAAGATTTTCCACACCATAATTTTCAAGTTGTACTGCAGACATCATGGTCATCCTTAATATCTCTTCATTTCATATTACGCTGCATAACATTAAAATCCACCGCGCTTGTAAAGTCACAAAAAACGGTAAAATATACCTGCTGTATGTTGTTTTATACGAATTGTACCAATGTACGGGCATATAATATTAAGTGTATGTACTGATAGTATTAAGGAGAACTCAAGGTATCTATATGATGATTGGGAAGGTCCAATTAATATGGACTAGTGTACTATAAGGGATAAGTGTAACCGTGTCTGAAGGTCATGATATTTACGTCTGTGAATGATTAGTAAATAAAGCTACCTCGGGATCAGATGAAAATATATGAACAATGATTTGGAAAAAGGATAAATGTATCGGTCCTATGTGAAGTGTTGGAAGTGATCCAGAAACTATACTTCAAAGAAAATATCTTGTATGCCTCGGTGTGAGCTTAATACACCTCGTTGCCCCATGTGACGATGAACCACGAACAGTGCAATGATCAGAGAATCCTATGAATGTGTTCAACGTATGCAACGTGTGAGGGGAGGATCCCTAAATACAGATTGAATTGAAGTGGATATACCCACGCCTAGAAAACACAAGCCTAGGCCTTTGTTCTATGTTGGCGCTCATTCTGCCCCGGGCCACAGGTTTGAGTTAATGATATAGCCCAATTAGTTTTCCCAGGAAATGGCAAACCAGACACTATCATGTGTCTGGATAATACCAAGGAGTTTCATACTTGTAGGTGTGGAGTGTACCTGATATGTGGTGCTACGTAAATGTTGGTGCTACCTGATGTTTTTGGGTGATATGGTAAGAAATAATGACCGAGGTAAGGAGGTCAATGATTTGTTATGAAGAATGAAGATTTTAATAAGTTCATTTGGAGAAGGTCGTGTATTGGTGTGAAGTGTAATGACCTTAATAGTAGTTATTTTGATAAAGCTTCAACTATTTTTTGTATTGTGTCTGGCTTGCTCTGCCAGCTACCTACACAAGTTACATACTGTCCAGAGGGTCTGATGGCAGCGACCTTAAAGTTAAGGGTAGATGTAAGTTATCCCCTTAGGATTAGTGACCCCAGAATGGGCAGTATAAAGTTTGGTGTTTGAGTTCTGATCAAATGATTTATTGTGACTTGTGGCAACCTTTCCTTCCCCACATTTCTCCTTCCCTAGGTCCCTCCCTCCACCAGGAGTGTTTCTTGTTATTGTATTGAATGTATTTGGCAATTTATGCAATGTGTCATGCAGACTCTTCACCACAGTAGGGATACTTTGACACCCAAAAAAAATAATACTGGGAATAAGAGTGAGGGTGAGATTGAAGAACTGGTAGGTTCACTTAGTAAATCTGGAAATGATACCATGTGTGAGAGCTTCAGCAACAGTGATACTGACGAGATGGTCATCCGGTTTAGAATTGGGGACGGTTTATATTCATCAAAATATGGAATAACAATTCGGATCCAATAAGCCTAACCCACCAGGTTGGCGAAGTGTGCACTTGTTGATGTGATGTCACAATTCATTGCTTTTAGTAAAAATTGTGATCGGGACTTCTAAAGCACCCTTTCAAGGATTTGGTTGCAGCCATTGATATAAAGGCATTTACCTATTTTGGAACCTATGAACTCAGTGCTATAATATAGGAGAGCCTAGTGGAGGCCGTAAAGCCATAAAAATTTTTACTTGACCTCAATTCAGCAGCAATATAATGAATCAAAATTACTGATGTAAATGTAAAATTCTATGAAAATATAAGAAATACGTAATACTGAAACCTGTATGGCTTGTGTAAGAGGATGAGCAAGTCCAGCATATGTTGTGTTGCTGCAAAGACCTCGTAAGTGTTCCAGGGTGCATGCTTCGTTACCAACATTGCTCGGGCTGCCATCAATATCACTGAGAAAGAGGAGTAAAAATCTTGTCATACCTATACTAAAATATTTTATGAACATTTATATCCTACAATGCCTTATGAGGTTTGCACGGTACACTGCATCCTTATTAATTTAACAAAAAAGGGGCTTTGGGTCACTTGAATTACAAAAAATCCAAATTATCTGAAGTGTGCAATACTTAACAGCAGAGACACCAGACATATTTGCATAAATCAAATGGTTATCTCAGGGACTAAAGGAGTTTCCAGGCTGGAAACTAACTTAACAGCTGTTTGTTACAACTGCACTCAAATTATGTGCAGCAATCAAGATCCAGTTTTAAGTTTCCTGCTGTCAGCCAAATTATTACTACCTCCTAATGTTATTCCTGCAAAAAGATTTCAAGGATAAGCATTTGCTACACTTATTAATCTTCAAGAATTAATATCACATCTACTATAGCTTTTACAGAGTTCTTTGAATACACTTAGTAAATGGTGATACAGGGAAGGTGTTTAACATTTGGCAACCACTCTTTGCTGACTTTGTACTATTGACTTTCATTGTTTAGGTTTTTACTTTTGTTTTTCTCAAAATTTAACCCACCCCAGAACATTACTGATAGTAACCCAATAAATTGTGATTGACAATACAGATTGACCTCACAAATTCGTGTCTCAGAAGTCTCCTTTTCTGCAAACCCTTGCATTTTATGGGTGTTCCCCAATTAACATGTTTATGCTCGTTTGAGAAAAAATAAAAGTTATTTTCTTTTGAAATTTAAGCGCTCATGAAAATGTACAGATTTGTAGATAAACAGACTTCTTTAACACTTATTCCACTCTACTGTATATTAATGATGTGGTTTAGAAAAAAGGAAAATATAATATACAATTATAAAATAAGAAAAACTAAGTGCATGGGTGTGTATGTGTGGGAAGTGAACATATATTTGGAGGCAGTGTGCTGCAACTGCCGTACCATACCCTTATATCTCACTCCCAGGTCAAGCGGGATAATTTACAACTGTTCCCAACCTGTGAGTTATATGTTACATCATAGTTATTTTTCAACTACAGGTTGTACCTCTCTAGTCCGGCATTCTGTGGTCCGGAAGGATTTTAGTTTTGTCCAATAGGTAGATATGCAACTTTTTTTTTTTTATCTGAATTATTATTACAGGAGTATTAAATTTTTGCTCCTCAGGCCCCAATGTGGGTCAGTGACCTATGCCGGGTGGACTAATCCGCGGGAAATTAAGGTTTGTTTACATCCGGCAGTTCGGCTGCTCTCTCTCTCTCTCTACTTGTCTATACAGAGTACAACATTTATGTACAGAGAACAACATTTAACCCTTCAATATATATGAGCAGTAAATAAGTGTTGCTTTCATATTATGTAGAGTAATGACGATATGTTTTCACATGTGCGCACTTACATACGCGCAGTCTCACTTTTTTTTACCATTAATGGTTAGCTACTTATATTGTTCCATGTATTAACAATAAATAACATTACAGGTACTTCAAACAACCATATTAATTTTTTTACATTAATTTTACTACAGCTAAGATCAGGGTCTTATTTTCTTCAGATTTATATGTAGAACCAATCAGTCACTGGTTTCGTAAGCTTTAACATAAACAATGCCAGCAGCCGTCTCGTCTCCTCTAATATTCCACGTATTATTAATAAATTGTATTGTTAATTTTGCACACACACACACATTAATTCAATAAAAACAAATTCAGAAACATTAATTAAAATATATATGAACAGTAAATAAGTGTTGCTTTCATATTCTTTTGTAAAGTAATGACAATATGTTTTCACGTGTGCGCATGCGCACTTACATACGCGATCTCTCTTTTTTTCTTTACCATTATCGTTAGCTACCTCTATTGTTCCATTTAATAACATTAAATATCATTACTTAAAACAACCATATAAATTTTACTACAGCTACAACCAAGGTTTTATTTTCTTCAGTTTTATATGTAGAACCTGTCAGTCACTGGCTTTGTAATCAACGAAAACAATGCTGTGTCATTTCCTCATGTGTTTTAATATTCTACATATTATTAATGAATTGTATTGCTCATTTTGCACACATAAACGTTAATTCAATAAAAAAAGACATTCAGTAATAAACAATAATGAATCTTTCGTACATAAGAGAAATGACGCTGTTTACACGATTATGCACGTCGTCGGGAGCTCAAACCCATCGAAATTCAAGTTTCCGCAGTCAAAATTTTTTTTATATATATTTTTTGTGTTCCAATAAAATACGTTAAGAATTAAAAACTAGCGAAATTTGAGAAGCTACTGTACGACATTTAACCCTTCAATATGTCTTCAAAGAGACCATGATGCAGAGAAAGTGGTGCTAGTGCTTCCAAGCATAAGCACAAGTCACTATCTATCCAGGAAAAGGGTGAATTTCCATGGTCCGGCACCGGTCAGGTCCCGAGGTTGCCGGACTAGAGAGGTACAACCTGTAGTAACTTCACTTAGATACAATAAATTTTCTTAATTTTTTACTCGGTTACATGGACACACAATCCTACATAAAAAAAAAGTGCAAAAAATTTAAATAAAAAACAATTATCAAAAGGTATGAAGGTCTAAGCATCTATGGGTGTCACCATGAAGTTGCTTTGGCGAGTGTATGGAGAAGTCAGAGGGTCTTTAGTGCAGAGCACCACTGCTAGGGATGGCGGCAAAGCATCGTTGCTAAGGCATGTGCTGAGGTGGCCAGTGTCCCTGAGACTGTGGCACAGTGCAAACACTGGCTTGTACCACATTTGCTCTTTTTATGCTTTCATTTATATGCCACCTACAATAACTTTTAATGATAGCATACAGGTAAAGCTACTTTTAGGGATGAATCCAGTGATCTGAACAGACACTTTGGAGCCAATTGCCATGATATCACAGGAAAAGGAACATGATACTTAGTATCACCATACAACATTTACTGAGGGGACTACAACACTATACTGAGTAGGTACACTTAATACAGTATTCTACCATGGACCAAGGAACCCATCTGTTACGACCCTCCTCCCTTCACTGCTTACCCAGCTTCCACCATTGGTTATCAGCGGCTAGGGTTGTATGTACAGAAGCAGAAGATATATCAAGTGTTGTCAAATTACCACTGGCTGTCCCGCCAGTCTCCAGTAATTTCCCGACGATCAGTATCAGTGTACAGACAAACAACAGGCAGGTAGATTTCCACCAGATCACAGAAACACACTTGTGCACTGTAGTCCTTTTTAATAAGCACTGATTCTTCACAACACTGTTAACAGGGTAATGTCTTCACAGCTGGAATTCTCACTTCAAATATGTATATACTGTAGACAGCACATTACCAGTGTACAATTCCTTAGTCTTCAGTTGTTCTGCTTGGCTTATTCTTTACACTATAAACAAAGCGATTGACTGACTCCTAGCCTGCTCGCTGCTGTTTATATACGCCTCGTCAGACGCTTCTCGAACATCCTAGAATCACCCAGAGACGCCTGGGAGATTCTAGAATGTTCAACTCTGATCGAGGCTTACAATAATAAGTAAGTCATAACAAAAATGATGCAATGCATTCTAGAATATTCTTACATAATTAGTACATCAATATTTACACAACAATTGAACTAAATTTGCCAAAATAACTGCTGCATGAGACAGAAAACAATCAAAACACCTAGTTTACAAAATTATAATATAAAATTATGCCTCGGCATAACACATCTAATCTTAACCCAAAGTGTATGTTTATGAAAATAATTTTCAATAATCAGGAATTTTAATGACACACCTTAAGCGATAATGTGAAATATTTAATCTAGGAATATATTTCAAATACTATACAGTGAAACCTCACTTTACGCGGTCAATTGAACCCACGGCGGCCCGCGTAAAGTGAGAAATGCGTAAAATGAACAACATAACATATGGGATTAATTGAAATAGAGACCGGGCCGACCCCCAAACTCCACTTTTTCAGACACAATACCCACGTTGTAGTAAAAATAACTTCTTAATTTTATGATGGTATGCGCACACAATTAATAATTAAGAGAAATATCAATAATATTAGGTTTTTTAACACTTACATTAGTAGAAAAGATGGCTGGGCACATGGGGATGGGGGGTTGGTTCCGAGGCAGAGGGCAGATTATTGGCCCTCACCTGTATCACTTGTATCAATTGTATCACTATCCACCACAGAGGCTTGCAGGGCCTCTTTGTCAAACCCGTCAAAGTCCACAAAAGTCCATATCCTCACTATCACTGACTTGGGCCGGCTGTGGTGGGTGGCGGGTGAAGAACTCGGTAATGTTTTGATGACTGGGCGACCTTGTGCGCACCCTGCTCGCGCCGTTCTCCGCGTAAAAGGGTACACACACCGCGGAAAGTGAGCATTCTGTGTTCGGCAGGGTACCGCGTAAACGTGGAAACATGTAAAGTGGGACCGCGTAAAGCGAGGGTTGACTGTATACAAAATTAAATAATAAAATCCCCTCCTATTTCAAAATATCTGGTACAGTAAGTCCTCGCTTAACGTCGTGGTTACGTTCCTGAAAAACACAACGTTAATGGAATCAATTTTTCTCATAAGAAATAAATAAAATACACTAGTTACGCTCCCCAGCCTCCCTTTGCCCCATAATATACATTACATATACATAAATTCAATGGAATTTTTATAGAAAATATAAATTAAACATCCAAAAAGATAAATAAACTAAATCATTTTGTATTGTACTCACTGATGGGCAGAGGTGGAGCGAGTGTGTGGTGGGTTTAAAACCTCCATTTTCATAGCAAGGCTAATGGTCTTGCATTGCTTCTTCACAACACTAGCATCATTAACACTTGATGGGTGCTTGGAAGCCATTTTGAATGGTAACAGTACAGTATTTATTGTAAAAACACTTAAGCACGCACATACGCTGTGGAAGTCGAACAAAGACTGGGGATGCTGTGACCCTCCACGAGAGAGAGTAGAGCGCCAAGATGACAGAGGGTGATACGTCATACAAAGTACTCCGTGACGACGTTATAATGAATCGGTCGGGACGTTGTCGGAATCATGAGTATCTACAGAGTAGCGACGTTATAACGAAACAATGTTAAACAAGGATTTACTGTATTTTGAACCTTCTCCCCCCCCCCTTAGTTTTCAAAACAACAAGGTTCTTCTGTATTCATGGCCATTTTGAGAACATATCCCTCACAAAGACTCAGAGAAGAGTGTATTGTATTTCTTTTATTCCTATCAATACTGAACCTGTACAGTATTTAAAGAAGTGAGACCAGCTGTTGCTCCTCTTCCTGTTATGGTTCTTGTGAATTAATGATGACTCACAATGTTAGTACAATTATTTAATTTGCATATACAGGTGTTTTAAATGTTAGAAACATATTTATAAACCATATTTAGTATTGTTTTGGGCCATTACTGCTTTTGTACAGCAATTATATGAAATTTACTAAAATTCTCTGCCAGAGTTCAAACGTAAACATCACATTTGTTCAAATTCCTGGAAAAATAAATCAGCTAATTTGTATTCTATGGGTAATTTGAATAGGGATAAAGCCACAAGGGTGCCAAATTAATGTGGTTTAAGTTTATAATATATGAAGAAACCCCTTATATTTCCAAACTCTGTGGATCAATGGATTGTATGGTAATTGGGAGCTATGCTTTTTAGTGCACCACAAGGTCTTACCCTTCCTCCTTGTGTTAAGTACTAAACTGACAGATGAGTGAAGCCTTGATTATATATATTTTCATATTGTCAAATTGGGATTTTAATGAACAACCTAAGTCCCTAAGAAAACCACCACATTTGCATGGATTCATATAAAACTGACTGGATGGAAGGGCTGCAGTGCATTCATCACCTGCAGCAATACATTTTTCTATATGTCAATCCTCTATGTATCTCTATTGGCTTAGTCTTTATTTACCATGAAATCAATTTAGTAATGGCCATGTTATTATCATTATATGTAATTCAAGTTTAATCCTTTATCTTTCTCTATCAAAAGTTAAATAAATGTGAAGAAACAAAATAAAAAAAATTAAAATCAACAATTTCATCTAAAATCTATTTAATTAACTTAAATGAATAATAAGAGAAAGTACTGAATACATACCTATGAGTGTGCAAAGGATGTGTGCGGAATACCCCTTCCCTAGGCATCTGCAAGTTTAAGAAGGTGCCAAGGGTACGGCATATGAGTCGGACTCCTACCGAGAGTGGGGATTGGCGGCCCAGTCCTATAGCTGCCAAAATACCTGTGGTTTCTCGGTCCTCAGCCCATAGTGCTAACTGGGATGTGAGAGTCTGGCAGTGGTGCCATGTTGATTCTATAGTTCCCTTCTCATGGACTAACAGAGACAATATTTTCAAGATCTCACTCAATAAAAGAATGAGACCAATTTCCATTTCTGCACTGTGGAGAGAATGAAAAAAGTTATTCAGTTACAATATTTGTTCATATGACAAGACAATAAATACAGATACAATACAGTACTGCATACTGTATCTATATTAAAAGTGATTATGGTAACTCAAGCACTTTCACAGATGATGTTACCAGGGCTGTTAATTTATCCACATTTGTTTATTGTCTTTGAGTAGAAGTAAAAGTATCCAAAGATCAATGTACTCAAGTAGAAGTAAAAATGTATCTCATTCATAAAGTACTCAAGTGCTGAAGGTAAAAAGTAATAAAAAAATGATTAATTATCTCAAATGCTAAAATAAATCAACAGAAAAACCCCCAGTTAAATAAAGATAAAAATAAGACACATAGTATTACACCTGTTTATTTGCACATCTTTCTATTGAGATTAATTAATAGCTGATTCTTGTAATTATGGTTGTCCAATCAGGATCTTTTAGGCCTAAATATAAGCCCAGCATGACCTACCGAAAGAGAATACGTCCAGCCACTCTTCTCCCTACAATCCATTGCAGGGATGGTGAACGGGCTGAAAATATATCCATCCAACACTCTGATCACTTTCTTCCATATCCACACAAGTATCGTCGATGTGAACTTATGATCCACAGACATAATGTTCTCACTGCATGCATTTGGTTAGGATACAAACCTATCTAGCATGTATCTGAGGTGGGGGTTGACCTGCACTTCTCTTCCTGTAAACTCTGCAACTGTCCCAGTGCTAACACCCTTCAACACTATTGCCTTGACTGTCCCACTGCCAAGGACCTCCTACCACAGGGAGAGTCACTAACCACTATATGTCACCACCTACTTAGTCGTAATAATTTAGATTTAATTTTTGTACGCAAGCCACACTTTGGTGGATGCTAACTCCCATTGTCCTTAAATCATATCAATAATGTCTCCATATCACAAGTCATAGTGTGTCCAGCAAGACATGAGTACCAATGTATTAGTGTCTGACTGCATGGTCTTACGACTAGGCTTGCCCCCTCCCCTGGGGTGTAATAAATTAATTAAAAAAATAAATATTAAGCCCAGCATGACTAAACAGATGCTGACAAGCAGCAGATGAAGGTAATAGGGTGTTAAGCTTGAGAGATAAGTCACATAATGTCGAGAAAGACCTCTGTAGCTCCATTCCATCCTGTGGGCATGCCAAGTACAGTAGCTATCAAGCTCCTTCAGTTGAGGAGTTTGTGGATGATTGTTGCCTCCATAGTGACAGAGTCTGACTAAGACTCACCATGAACTGTCCCTTTAATTGGGGTGTGGCTGTGGTGATGTCACTAGTTGCTTCTAATTAATGAGTGGCTGATTTTTTCGCACCACGTAACATCTGGCGGGTGACGGGGAGGAGGCAGTGGTACTTAATTATTTAAACAGAATTTTAAATGCAATCATTCTCACACATATGTATAGACACAGGCTTTATATGCAAGACAAAATTATGTAAAACATTTTAGAATCACAGCCTCTTGAAATTCATTTTAGGTACAGGTATATACAAAGAGCAACTTTTTACAACTTTGACCTTTACACATATTGGAAATTACATTGCAGTAGAATTGTTTTACTGCGCTCATCAACTTTTCTCCAAAAATGATATTCGATCTACCTTCATCAACGCCTTCTCCATTTTTTCAGACTGTACTTACTGTATATACAGTACAGTATACAGTACTAGCACATGCACTGAAAATATGTATCGGTAATAATCGGTCCCTGATTGTCCTTACAATTTCTAATCCTCTTTTACTAATCTTTTACCATAAACTCAATGACCTCACCTTCCAAATATATCATCTTCATGCAGTAGGAATCTGAAGGGTATGAGAAGACACAGATGTGTGCCATTCTGGCTTTCAAGACAATTAAGGAGTGTTAATCTGTTAATTACTAACTAATAATAATTTAGAAATCATAAAAATATTTCTTGTGCTAAAAATCACTCACTTGGGTATTAGAGTTTCCAACATGTCACACAGAAAAGTCAAAAGTAAGAGGTTGTCTGCACAGCTAATGCTCTGCAGACGCCGCCAGCAAGTGTGGGCATACACTACCAGCAACTGACCTTCCTGAACAAGATGCAAAAATATCATTCCTTTAATCATTGTAACTTAAAATGTTTAATACACAATTCTATACCAAACAACGGCCTATCATAAACATCTATCAAACTATTTTCCTTCACACACCTCTCATTTTTGCTCTTGCTCAGGTTCAAGAACATTTTCTATAAAACTAATCATTCTTCTGGCAACTTCATTTAGCTCTAGCAATGTTCACCATTTTATTACTATTATTGATGACTTACAGGCTTTCCTGCATGGCTACCATCCCCAAGATCCACTACTGTAATAAATGCTGCATGCTTCTGAAATTTATGTTCTCATTTCATTGAAAACATGTTCCTCTCTTTCCACATACCTCTATTTTGAAATTAATAAGTTCTTATGATTCTTCAACATTTTAACTTAAGCAGTACTATACTAGAATCACCCAATTTGTAAAGTTGTGCAAATATTAAGCAAAACTTAAAATGGTACCCACCTCAGCAGCCAAACTTAACATTGCAGATGGGTTGGTGAGAGGAAATGACAACACAGACACCACTCGTGACCATGTGACTTCTCCCTCCCATCCATACCAGTCTGAAAATAATTATCAAACTGTTTCAATATCAATTGTCTGTTTTGTACATCACCTATAAATAATACAGTAAGTACAGTACCGACAATATTATAAGTCTAATAAATACTGTTACTGAGTTACACTTCTTCAGAATACAGCTCCTCCCTGACTTACGACGGGGTTAGGGACCCAAATCCAGGTCGTAAGTCGAAAATGCTTAAATAATACAAAAATAAATAAAAAATGGGTGACTCTTTTTCTTCTCAGCACCACAAAACTCTCACTTTTAAGCTTGCCAGCCATTTTAAAGTGAATTACAAACAAAAATTTTGTCTATGTACTGACGTTGGGACTTGAAAATACGCAATTTGACAAAATTTTGGTACGACTGAGGCAGGTCGTAAGTGCAGGTGGTCGTAAGTCGAGTAGCTCGTAAGTCGGGGAGGAGCTGTATAGCAAACACCCTGTATTTATTTTAACCTTAAGCTGTATAATATAGGACTTAAAATGCACATTCCTTATTTCCCATTAGACTCAGCTCTTGACAATCACAGTTTTGCTAACAGCAGGAAAATTCTAGAATGTAACCCCCACAAGCCTAATGGATACAGTATATGCCTAACAATGATAACTCAAAGATGATGACTTGTTGCTAACAGCAATATGTATAGTGAAAATTTAATTAATACAAAAGGGAGAAAAGTGAATGACTTACTTCACAGGGATGCCAATACTCATCCATAAAGGTTGTGTAAGTTTTGTTTTCATTTCAGGCTTTCAAATCTTTGCATTTCAATTAACTACATATACTGAAGTTGCTGCTATGCAGTAGATAAGAAAAAAATCAATTTTGATGAGTGCTGTATTAAATATGATTCTTCTTCTTAGGTATTTTCTTTATATATTTATATATTGTACTAAGGGAAAAAATATACAAAAAGGAAAACCAAACCATATAGACCTTATTGCATCTTCTGTGTTTCTCATGAGTTGCAGCATAGGGTATTTTACCCCTGAACAGTATATTATCGTACACTAACCACCATGTTTGAAGAGCGCATTTAAACCAGCTTGCAGGATGGGATTTCGATGATTAAGGTGCAGGACAGTGCGGGAAGCAGTAGAAAGCAGGGGTAAAAGCAGCCCTGGAGAAGGGTGGTGTTCATCAGAGAGCCATGTTACCACTGCTGAACTTGCAACTTCTTGGAGAGCTGCGGATGATGCCCCACCACTGACCAGAGCCAACACTTCTGTGCTCAACACCCCTCCCTCACTCCACTGTTGATCCTTGGGCACAGCTGAATCAAACATTCATATTAATTAGATTTAAGAACATTATCACATATACACTATAATAAAAATCACAGTTAATATTTGAACCTCTCTCTGTCTCAAACCCAACAAAACCTAATGCATAATAATAATAATCCACACCTAACAGGGTTCTTTTGGCTCCCTTTCTAGCTATACTCAGTATCAACCTGGATTGCCTTAAATTTTGAGGAATCATAATGCATTTCCAATTTTCCACATCTATGCCTTGCACAGCGAATTAGCTATACAGTGGTCCCTCGGTTAACGAGCACAATCCGTTCCAGCAGGTTGCTCGTTAACCGAAAAACTCGTTAACCGTTTTATTATAATGTCGCTACTCTTTAGATACCCATGATTCGGACAATGTCCCGCCGATTCGGCATAACGTTGTCACAGACTACTTTCGCGGTGCATCACCCTCTCTCACCCAATCAGAGCAGGAAAGGAGCCGCCCTCCTTCTCTCCACTACCCACCACACACTCGCTCCACCTTCCCCCACCAGTAAGTACAACACAAATGATTTAGTTTACTTATCTTTTTGGATGTATAATATATACTATCTTTTATAAAAATTCCATTGAATTTATGTACGTGTATATGTAATGTATTTTATGGAGCAAAGGGTGGCTGGGGAACGTAACTCCCGTACAGTGGGTTATGCTATAACGAACGGATCCTACTACTAATATTCCTATAACGAACGGTTTTACCTATAAAATTGAGAATGCTATAACGAACGAAACTCCTACAACGAACATTATTTAATTTTTGTTTTATTAATAATTTATTGTTTTTTATTACAAGTATTAATGATATTCTTTATTTCAGGGGTTTAGATGCATATTTATGCACTTTTTTACAATTTTTACAATTTTATATTATATTTTTCAGTGTTAAGTGGTTGTATTTGGGGGCCTGGAACGGATTAATCCTATAACGAACGAATGCTATAACGAACAAGGTTCTAGAACCAATTAGATTCGTTATAGCATACCCCACTGTATTTTATTTATTTCTTATGGGGAGAATTGATTCCGTTAACGTTGCAGTTCTCAGGAACAGAACCACAACGTTAAGCAAGAACTTAATGTACTGTGGTTCCTTGCACATGGAGTTCGTTCCTAAAAGTCCACACGTATAACGATTAGTGAAAAAAAATTTTCCCATATAAATTAATGTTCTGTACATGTACTGTAATTACTGTATTGTATAGCAATAAATAAAACAAATTCTAATTATATAAAATATGCACTGTACTGTACAGTACAGTAATTTTCTTCTTGGGCTCATTTTGTGCATTTACGGGCATTCTGTGACAAAGCATCGATTTTACCTCGCGAGTTTTGCTTTCAATTCAGCGTATCTTTGTCTCACCTTTAGTGTAAGAGTATTAAATATTTTTTTAATGTCTCATTTCTCAGTGAAGCATTAAATATATTTTATATAATATATGCCATTAAATAAATTTTTAATGTTTAATAAATAAATATTAAATGAAGACAGTTGATTAGCAGATGAAAATATAGTTTCACCCCCTCAAAAGATTACAGCACGAGCAGGCACATTGTCTGCTAGCAGATATTTGGAATTACTATACAGTACATTACAGTACTAACATTTAAAATTCTAGTGCCTCCCTGAAATTGTCAAAGGCGTGAATACAAAATATGCAAATTATCAGGAATACTGTACAGTGTAAGCACTGTACATATGTAAACAATGTACTGCAGTAAACATCCAGATTTACAGAACTACAGACATTAAAGGGCATCCCATCATTCCTATTTGCCTATTAAATCTAGGTTTTAACATATTTGTATGTGTATAACTGAGTATGGCACATGCATAATGATTTTTTTGTGGTAAAATCTACTAGCAACAGTTTATGTATAACCGAGTATACATATAGCGATTGTATGAATAATGATGGAATACATTAGAGGTAAGTCTATCACACTGTAAGCTTTGGTTCCATAAATACATATACAGCAACAAAGAAGATTTAATACCCCTTACAAAGAAGATTTAATACCCCTTACAAAGAAGATTCAATACCCCTTACAAAGAAGATTCAATACCCCTTACAAAGAAGATACAATACCCCTTACAAAGAAGACAGAATTCTAGTAAAGACAACTAAAAAAATAAAGGCATGAATTTGGAGATCCCATGTTATGGCTATGAGAAAGAGTCAATACACTTGTGAGACTCCTTCCCACAGACCACCCTTTGGCAGAGCCTACTTTGTTCAAGGGGCTACCTACATTCTGAAGCAGGGACATGACCCAGTAGTGCTTTGAAAATTATGCATGCCAATAGGTTTACTGGAATGAAACCCCAAAACTTGTTCATATAACTTAAAACCTTTTTCATCAACCTAGGTCATGAGAGTTCAACTATAGGGTCCAACTCTTCTCTGATGAGGTGCAGACTAATGTTTTTACTTTACACATAGTCCATACTGGGAAAAAAATATTACTTACTGGCAATAAGTGTTTTCTCCATGTGTGTGAGAAAACCCAAGATTGTGGCGGTGAATACTTGAGGTTTGGCACTGAGTAGGGCTTTGTGTCGAGCTGCAGCAGAAGTTGTCAGCCGTACTAGGGCACGTACCAGCAACCCACGTTTAGCAGCCGTGTCTTGATGAAATGAAGTGGCGTCTGATGTGTAACCAGCAGCACGATGAAGTAACCTGAAGGACAAAGTACATGGTGACAAAATGGCTAACCATATACAGTACTGTACACCCAATTCACTCCTCTCAAAATACAGTACAATGCAGAAAACTAGTACTGGTACGTATACAGTCGTACAGTACATGTAGCAAATTGCAATCCCCAGTTACTACAAGTAATTTTGGGTAGACAAGTGAAATAATACCATTGAAGAGAGAAGGGGTAAAATTATCATTTTGGTCATCCAGTGAATTTTAGGATTTTAAGTTTTACAATCAGTAGTTCAGACAATTCTAAGACACTTTTCTTTTATAGCGTTTCCATAAAAAATGTAAACTTCTCAAGTATTTTAATCAATAAAATTACTAACAGAAAATTTTCCCGACACCCAGAAATTTCATGGATGGGAGATATGTTTCCGGGTGCGAGAGATGATGTAATGGGCAATTTCTGGAACTTCTGAGAAGATTTTTCCGCTATCTGGAAAATTCCGGAAATGAGGGATTTTTTCCAGCTTTGAGAGAGTAGTCTCGTTACCCGAAAATCTCTCATTCCAGAAAGTGCTCTGCACCAATTGTTCCGGCTAACCTGTTTTGAATTAACTGCTTTGTCAAGTCTCGTTTTGCTTTGTTGCCCTCACCCCGTTGAAACAATCCCATGGACACCTATGAATATAGGGAGCAACAGCAGCCAAAACTTAAACATATGAATGTAACTATTTCCCTTAATTAATTCACTTCTGCATAACATAATTTGGCTAATAATGGTTGCCTCTTGTGTAATGAGGATGGCCGGCCCTAGGGCCACCTAGGCGTGAATTTGTTTAAGGTGTAGAAGCTGTCGTCAACACAACAACCACACTCTGATTTAACGAGCTGAGTGACCCAGTGTCAAGGAATAGTCCGAGAAGACCGGACAACTTGCCAACTGCACTGGCTAACCATTAACCTGAAACATGATACGCAAATTGATTATCATCCATGTCACCAATTACTGCTGGGTAGAGAGAGGCAAATGGAGTAAAGAAACATGCCAACAGTTTCACCCTGCCCGGGGATTGAACCCGGGTCCACTCGCTTGAGAGGTGAACATGCTTACCATTACACAGACTTCCATGGTCGGAAATGAACATGAATTTGGAAATATGAGACCCAAAATAAAAATAGATTTTGATTGGGCCAAAAATACCACGAATTAAACCAAAAATCATTTTAATTGGTTGCAAAAAAAATGGTTTTGATTGGCCGCGTGACGCATGCACGTGATGATTTATGAAGGAGACAGCAGTGTGGGAGGTGAGGTAGGTGATAATGGCGGAAGATTAATGGAAGAAAATAGAGAACATTTTGGATACGCTATCTCCGTTATTATGCATTTGCGACGGTAATGTAATAGATGAAAATTATCTTATAATTAGACGTTTTATTAGAATATAATAATCCATTAGTGGTAGGAATGTGGGGTGTGAAAATGCAATACTACCCTCAATTGTTTCTCTTACTTTGACAACACAATACAGATACTGTATATTGTTATTTTTTTCATTTTTGTATTTCTTTACGGTTCTTTATTATTATTATTATTATTATTATTATTATTATTATTATTATTATTATTGCTGCATTTTCACCCCCTAGGCCCCGATGTGGGTCAGTGACCTGTGCCCAAGTGGGCTAATTCCTGTATATAAAAAAAAAATCTACACATGTAAAAGAAAAAATTCTACATATGAAAAGTCAACAATTAAAAACTAAATTACAATAAATGTCCCATAATGAGCCTATTATCTTGAAAGAGACAAAACCTAGCATTTTAAGTCTTACTGGTAATGACAGGTTAATCATGTACTGTAGTCTCGTTCAAGATTCTTCGAACACTGCTGGAGACAACTGGCAACTCAAGGCCGTTTGTTTACTATAGCATGTAGTAAAACTTATGAATGAATGTAAAAGGTCATCGGTGATTGGTTTACTTAGTCCCCCGATGCTTAATTAATGGTTGGGCTTAATTGTTTCGTATTATGTTATACTACGTACTATAGTAAACAAATGGCCTTGTTGCCAGCTGTCTCCAGTAGTGTTTGAAGAATCTTAACGAGACTGTACAAAGTCACTGCAACTATGTCCAGGTACAACCATGGGCGTCCGCAGAAAAAAATGCGGGGAATGTTATCCTGAATTCGACGTGTGAAGTGTGAAGACATTGTAGTGGAATTCTCCCCTACAAACGCTGTTTGTCGCTGCCTAGCCGACCCCACCAATTCCCCAGTGTATGCCTCGTGGTCTAGGTCAACCAGCGCCGCCATACACCACGGAGCGGGGGTCAACTGCTAAGCCACGCCTACCCCCGCTATTTAAGACCTGACCTCGTGGTGATCTGTCTCTCTTTCTACCAACACCAACCAGCCAGCAACACCTCCGCCTGCCTGGCGGTCCTCGCTCCTCCGCCTGCCTGGCGGTCCTCTCTCCCGCTGGCGAGCATGGCGACCCACAAGCTGTCCTTCTCTGAGCGTCCTCACCAACCAGCTCTCTCTACATCACGCTTGTAACCATGCTGCCTTCCCAGCACCAAGCTGCATTGTACATCCAACACAACATGTATATAGAGAGCACATCGTGAGTTTCCTTTCTCCATCCCATCCTGAGTGTGAACCAAACAATCTCATACCCCACAAATGGTGACTCCCGGAGATTCGCACTCACACAGGATGGAGGAGAAACTGATCACGCTCCCAGTCTTCAAGCAACATGGAAGACTGGCTTATCCACACAGAAGCAACACTCATCGACTCTACAACTACTGTTTCTACACCGCAGGTTAGACACCCTAGAGCAGCTCTGCTACTCTAAGCAGACACCAGCTCCTCTTCCTGCTCCAAGCACCACGTCCTACCGACCCCAGCACACCCGTCCTGCCTCAGACGCCGACCCCGGCTCAGCAGTAACCCCTGCCGCCCCTGACGCGGCCTCTGTTCCTGAGTGCGGACCCACACACCCCTCTTTTCTCCCTCAGGTACTCCCTGCTAATGTCCTGCACCCTGCTGCTGTCGTGGACCCAGCTGCTGTCACGAGCCCTCATCCGCTTCTGCTGACGCAGCCCCTGCTCCTGACCCAGGCCCACACACCCCAGCAGGCGCATCTGACGACTCTGTACCTGCCGTGAGGGAAGCACAACATTCATCGCCTCCACACACCCTTATTCTCCCTCTCTACTCCCACAGATATTGTGTATCTAGACAGTTGTCTCCAGCGACCGGCTCATCCACGCCATCGCCGTTGTCTCACATGAGCCATGCACCGCCCGTTCTGCCTCACATGTGCTATGCAACTCTGCAGACAACAAGTCTCCTACACAACCTGGAGGGAAGGGGGAGTATTGTAGTGGAATTCTCCCCTACAAACGCTGTTTATCGCTGCCTAGCCGACCCCACCAATTCCCCAGTGTATGCCTCGTGGTCTAGGTCAACCAGCGCCGCCATACACCACGGAGCGGGGGTCAACTGCTAAGCCACGCCTACCCCCGCTATTTAAGACCTGACCTCGTGGTGATCTGTCTCTCTTTCTACCTACACCAACCAGCCAGCAACACCTCCGCCTGCCTGGCGGTCCTCGCTCCTCCGCCTGCCTGGCGGTCCTCTCTCCCGCTGGCGAGCATGGCGACCCACAAGCTGTCCTTCTCTGAGCGTCCTCACCAACCAGCTCTCTCTACATCACGCTTGTAACCATGCTGCCTTCCCAGCACCAAGCTGCATTGTACATCCAACACAACATGTATATAGAGAGCACATCGTGAGTTTCCTTTCTCCATCCCATCCTGAGTGTGAACCAAACATCTCATACCCCACAACATCATTGACAATTTCAGAAGAGATTGTAGTGGATTTCTCCCCTACAAACGCTGTTTGTCGCTGAGTAGCCGACCCCACCAATTCCCCAGTGTATGCCTCGTGGTCTAGGTCAACCAGCGCCGCCATACATCACGGAGCGGGGGTCAACTACTAAGCCACGCCTACCCCCCGCTATATAAGACCTGACCTCGTGGTGATCTCTCTCTTTCTACCTACAGCCGCAGCCAGCAACACCTCCTCCTCCGCCGCTGCCTGGCGTCCCTCGCTGCTCCTCCGCCGCTGCCTGGCGGCCCTCGCTCCTCCTCCGCCTGCCTGGCGGTCCTCTCTCCCGCCGGCGAGCATGGCGACCCACAAGCTGTCCTCTGAGCGTCTTCACCAACCAGCTCTCTCTACATCACGCTTGTAACCATGCTGCCTTCCCAGCACCAAGCTGCATTGTACATCCAATACAACATGTATATAGAGAGCACATTGTGAGTTTCCTTTCTCCATCCCATCCTGAGTGTGAACCCCAATATAACGTACCCCACAAATGGTGACCTCGGAGTGACACTCACAGGATGGAGGAGAAAGAACCAAACAACCTGAACCCCACAAATGGTGACTCCCGGAGATTCGCACTCACACAGGATGGAGGAGAAACTGATCACGCTCCCAGTCTTCAAGCAACATGGAAGACTGGCTTATCCACCCAGAAGCAGCTCTCATCGGCTCTACAGCTACTGTCTCTACACCGCAGGTCAGACACCCTAGAGCAGCTCTGCTACTCTAAGCAGACAGTCGTTCCTCTTCCGACCCCAGCACACCCGTCCTGCCTCAGACGCCGACCCCGGCCCAGTAGTAACCCCTGCCGCCCCTGATGCGGCCTCTGTTCCTGAGTGCGGACCCACACACCCCTCTTTTCTCCCTCAGGTACTCCCTGCTAATGTCCTGCACCCTGCTGCTGTCGTGGACCCAGCTGCTGTCAAGAGCCCTCATCCGCTTCTGCTGACGCAGCCCCTGCTCCTGACCCAGGCCCACACACCCCAGCAGGCGCATCTGATGACTCTGTACCTGCCGTGAGGGAAGCACAACATTCATCGCCTCCACACACCCTTATTCTCCCTCTCTACACCCACAGATATTGTGTATCTAGACAGTTGTATCCAGCGACAGGCTCATCCACGCCAT